ATATAAGAGTTTTTTGATCTTCACCTGCTTCCCACCCTCCACCCTCAAGTAGGTCCTGGTGCCTACAGTTCTCTTCTTTGTGTCCATATGTACTCAATGTTTAGCTCCCACTTATAAGTGAGAACACACAGTATTTGCTTTTTGTTCCTATGTTAGTTTGCTTAGAATAATGGTCTCCAGCTCCAACCACATTGCTGTAAAGGACATGATCTTGTTCATTTTTATGGCTGCATAGTATTCCATATGTATTCACATTTTCCGTATTCAGTCTACTGTTGATGGGCATCTAGGTTGATTCCAGGTCTTTGCCATTGTAAATAGTGCTGCAATGAACATATGCATGCATACATCTTTATGGCAGAATGATTTATATTACTTTGGGTATACATCCAATAATGAAATTGCTGGGTTGAATGGTAGTTCTAAGTTCTTCGAGAAATCACCAAACTGCTTTCCATGGGGGCTGAACTAATTTACATTCCCAACAGTAGTGTGTAAGCATTCCCTTTTTTTTTCCCACAACCTCACCAGGATCTATTATTTTTTGACCTCTTAATTATAGTCATTCTGACTGGTGGGAAATGATATCTATTTTATTGTGGTTTTGATTTGCTTTTCTCTAATGATTAGTGATGTTGGACATTTTTTCATATCTTTGTTGGCCATTTGTCATGTCTTTTTTTGAAAAGCATTCATGCCTTTTGCCCACTTTTTAATGGGATTGCTTGGTGTTTGCTTATTAATCTGTTTAAGTTCCTTTTAGATCCTGAATATTAGAGCTTTGTCAGATTCGTGTTTGCAAATATTTTCCTCCAATCTGTGGATTATCTGTTTACTCCATTGATAATTTCTTTTGCTGTGCAGAAGCTCTTTAGTTTAACTAGGTCCCATTTGCCAATTTTTGTTCTGTTAGAATTGCTTTTGGAACCTTCATCATAAAATCTTCGCCTATGTCTAGAATGGTATTTCCTAGGTTTTCTTCAAGAGTTTTTATAGTTTTAGGTTTTACCTTTATGTCTTTAATCCATCTTGAGTTAAATTTTTGTTTATGGTAAAATGTAGGGGTCCAGTTTCAATCTTCTGCATATGGCAAGCAAGCTATCCCAGCATGATTTATTAAATAGGGAGTCCTTTTCCTATTGCTTGCTTTTGTTGATTGTCAAAGATTAGATGGTTGCGGGTGTGCAGCTTTATTTCTGGGCACTCTATTTGGTTCCATTGGTCTATGTGTCTGTTTTTGTAAAATACCATGCTGTTTTGGTTACTGTAGACTTGTAGCACAGTTTGAAGTTGGGTAATGTGATGCTTCCAGCATTGTTCTTTTTGTTTAGGATTGCTTTGCATATTAAGGCTCTTTTCTGGTTCTATATGAATTTCAAATTAGAAAAAAACTTTTTTCTAATTCTGTAAAGAATGTCAATGGTGGTTCGATAGGAATCACACTGAATCTGTAAATCGCTTTGGACAATATGTCCATGTTAACAATATTGATTCTTCCTATTCATGAGCATGAAGCATTTTTCCATTTGTTTGTGTCATCTCTGATTTATTTCAGCAGTGTTTTGTAATTCTCAATGTAGGGCCTTTTCACTCCCTGGTTAACTGTATTCCTGGGTATTTCCTTTTTTTGTGTGGCTACTGTGAATGGGATTGCATTCTTGATTTGGTTCTCAACTTAGATGTTGTTGGTATATAGAAGTGCTACTGATTTTTGGTAGGGCACAGTGGCTCACACCTGTAATCCAAGCACTTTGGGAGGCTGACAAAGGTGGATCGCTTGAGCTCAGGAGTTCGAGACCAGCCTAAGCAACATGGCAAGACCCTATCTCTATTAAAAGATACAGAAATTAGCTGGGCCTGGCGATGCATGCCTGTAATCTCAGCTACTTGGGAGGCTGAGTTAGGAGTATTGCATGAGCCTGGAAAGCAAAGGTTGCAGTGAACTAAGATAGCACAACTGTACTCCAGCCTAGGTGACAGAGTGAGACCCTGACTCAAAAAAAAAGAAAAGTATAGAAGTACTACTGAATTTTGTACATTGTATAAAAGGCTTTTAAATATTCCTAATCCAAATTTAGTTAACTATAGAAACAATTAATCACAACTGAGGAACAATTCATCACAACTGAGACTTATACAAAATTCCATATATCCCCTATTTTAAGTAATCAGGAAGAATAGCATATAAGTTTTTAATCTGTTGGTGGTTGTATGGGGGAGTGTCCAGTTCCCAACCCTATGCCTGCAGGCCCTCCACTGACACACCCACTTGGCCTCAGCATTTCCAGTATGGTCTCACTGCCCCTCACTTCCCTCACATGCTCATCACTACCTCAAGACCTGACATGTGCCACCCTTCTTTACCCTGTTCTCCTTGTAGCTTTGCCCTGACCAAGTTCCAGCTCTGGTCTCTATTACTAGTTAGTACCAGGTTGAAAAGAAGCACTGTCCCACATCCTAGATGGATAATAAGTTTGCACTAAAATCAGGGGGACAAATGGAAAACCCGGAAAATAATTAAACTTAGTAGGAGCATCAAATAAAACTGTTCTGTTGTTGAATACATTTTGCACAGTTAGGAAAATTCTCCAGGTTTCTTTACTTAGAATAACAATTTCTAGCCCTTACAAACACAACATACTTTTTTTGTAAACATTTCACACTTTGGGAAAGTTGGTATTGATCATTCTTAAAAGTGTATTTAATAGTGAAGGCATACCCAGTATCCATCACAAGTGAACAGCTAGAAGGTTCTGGAAACATGTGTTCCAAGGATGGAAAGCCTGATACTTGCTTGGGTCTCTCTGTTCTGTACTGCAGCAACAGTACAGAAATGTAATACCACCTCCTTTACCATCCTGAAACAGAATTCATATATATTTCCTATATAAACATAATTTCCAAAAAGGCTAATAACAACAACATAATATGCATTTTAACATGCAAACAATTGGTCATGAATAAACCAAAAAACACAAGTAGTCAAATGCTTGAATCTATATGCAGAATAACCATGAATGTGACAGCTACAAATGCAGGCTACACAGTTGTGCTGTATCAGCTATTCAAATACAACTGGTGTTGTCTGTTCACAATATGCCTGTTACCGTGGATTTCAGGTTCTTGGTTCCCCTGCCCCAGGAATGGGGGAAGAGGCCCTGGAGGTGGATGAGCTCATTCAAGTAAATATCATATCCAAAGAGTTTTGCAAAAAAGAGATTTATTAGGCAGAGAGAGAGAGAAAAAACATAGGAAGAGAGAGAGGGAATTCCCACGAAGTCAGGGGAGGTGATCCAGAGGTGGAGTCTGCACAGGTGAGGGGCAGGGGGTCTTTTAATATGGGAGTTACTCCCGCCCCATTCAAGTTCTTGTCCAGTGAGAGGAGTTCTTCCAAACTTCCTCTGGAGTGACTGATTTTTTGACTTTGACATCTGATTGGTTGTTCCACCCACAGTCCTCCCATAGCTTTTCCCGGGCTTTCTAAACAAAAGAAGTTCATCCTGGATGCAGATGTGAAAGAAGGCAGGTCAGGCATGTTGCTGAGAAGTTCTTGCTTTTGAAACCATGCCCCTTGTGGACCTAGGGAAGAGAAGTTAACACATTCCCTCATGCTTTCCTGAAAGAAGAAACAATTTTTGGCAAAGCTTCCAACAAAACAAAATATACCCAGCTACTTGGGAGGCTGAGGCAGGAGGATCACTTGAGGTCAGGAGTTCAAGGCCACAGTGCACTATGATTATACCTGTGAATAACCATTGCAATTCAGCCTGGATGACACAACCATGTCTTTTTAAATTATTATTATTATTTCAGTAGTTTTAGGGGAACAGGTGATGTTTGGTTACATGGATAAGTTCTTTGGTGGTGATTTCTGAGATTTTGGTGCACCTATCACCCAAGTAGTGTACACTGTACCCAATGTATAGTCTTTCATCTTGCACCCACTTTCCCCAAGTCCCTGAAGTTCACTGTATCATTCTTATGCCTTTGTGTCCTCATAGCTTAGCTCCTACTTATGAGTGAGAACATAGGATGTTTTTTTATTCCTGAGTTACTTCACTTAGAATAATGGTCTTCAATTCTATCCAGAATGTGAATCACCTTATTTTGTTCCTTTTTTGGCTGAGCAGTATTCCATGATGTGTGTTTGTGTGTGTATGTATATACATATACATATACATATACATATACATATACATATACATATACATATACATATACATATATATGTCACATTTCCTTTATTTATTTAATTGATGGGCATTGGAACTTGTTACACATTTTTACAGTTGCTAATTGTGCTACTATAAACATGCATGTTCAAGTGTCTTTTTCACATAATCACTTATTTTCATCTGGGTGGATACCCAGTGGTGGAATTGCTGGATCAAATGGTAGATCTACATTTATTTATTTATTCATTTATTTGGTAGCATCTCACGGTGTTGTCCAGGCTGGAGTGCAATGGTGTGATCTCAGCTCACTGAAACCTCCGCTTCCCAGGTTCAAGTGATTCTCCTGCCTCAGCCTCCTAAGTAGCTGGGATTACAGATGCACACCATCATGCCCGGCTAATTTTTGTATTTTTAGTAGAGATAGAGTTTCACCATGTTGGCCAGGCTGGTCTTGAACTCCTGATCTCAAGTGATCCACCTGTCTCAGTCTCCCAAAGTGCTGGGATTACAGGAGAGAGCCACCATGTCCGGTCTACTTTTAGTTGCTTAAGAAATCTTCATACTATTTTCCATAGTGGTTGTACAAGTTTACATTGCCACCAGCAGTGTAAAAGTGTTCCCTTTTGACCACATTCATGCCAACATCTATTATTTTTTTAATTATGGCCAGTCTTGCAGGAGTAAGGTGGTATCTCATTGTGGTTTTGATTTGCATTTACCTGATAATTAGTGATGTTGAGCATTTTTTAAATATTTGTTGGCCATTTGTATACTTCTTTTGAGAATTGTCTATTCATGTCCTTAGCCCACTTTTGGATGGGACTGTTTGGTTTTTTCTTGCTGATTTGTTTGAGTTCCTTGTAGTTCTGGATATTTGTCTTTTGTCGGATGTCTTTTCTTTTTTGGTTATGTTCTTTCATCGTTTTGGTATTAGGGTGATACTGGTTTCCTAGCATGATTTATGGAAGATTCCCTCTTTAGCTTTTGGAATAGTGTCAAGAAGATTGGTACTGATTTTTCTTTGAACGTCTGATAGAATTCAGCTATGAATCTTTGAATTCTAGACTTTTTTTCTTGTTGACATTTTTTTAAATTGCCATTTCAACCTTGCTGCAAAAAAAATTTTAAGCAAATTCTTGCTAAAAAAAAAAAAATTGTAGGCAGCCAGGTGCGGTGGCTCGTGCCTATAATCCCAACATTTTGGGAGGCCAAGGCAGGCAAATCACAAGGTCAAGAGTTCAAGTCCACCCTAGCCAACATGGTGAAACTCCATCTCTACTAAAAATACACAAAATTAGTCAGGTGTGGTGGGGTATGCCTGTAATGCCAGCTACTTGAGAGACTGAGGCAAGAGAATCACTTGAACCCAAGAGGCAGAGATTGCAGTGAGTTGAGATTGTGCCATTGCACTCCAGTCTCGGGGACAGAGCAAGACTTTTTTTTGAAAAAAAGAAAAATATTGTTGGCATGGCTGGGCACAGTAGCTCACATCTGTAATTCCAGCCTTTGGGAAGCCAAGGCAGAAAGATCACCTGAGGACAGGAGTTCAAGACCAGCCTGGTCAACATGGTGGAACCTCATCTCTACTAAAAATACAAAAATTAACAGGGGATGGTGGCATGAACCAGCAATCCCAGCTACTCGGGAGGCTGAGGCATGAGAATCGTTTGAACCTGAGAGGCGGAGGTTGCAGTGAGCCAGGTCGTGTCACTTCACTCCAGCCTGCATAACAGAGTAAGACCCTGTTTCAAAAAAAATTTTCTTAATGCAGAAAAAAAAAGATTGTTGGCAAATTTTTTCCAACTCAGAACAGAGTTTTAGAGTTTCCATTTTTTCCTAGTTTAGCCTAGGAAGGTTATATATTTTCAGGAATTTATCAATCTTATCTAAGTTTCCTAGTTTGTGACATAAAGGTGTTCATAGTAGCCTCGAATGGTCTCTTGTATTTCTGCAGTATCGGTTGTAATATCTTCCATTTTGTTTCTAATTGAGTTTATATGGATCTTCTCTTTTTTTGATTAATCTTGCTAATGGTCTATCAATTTTATCTTTTCAAATAAGCTTCTTGTTTCATTTATCTTTTGTATCTTTTTGTTTCAACATTTAGTTCTGTTCTGATCTTTGTTATTTCTCCCTTCTGCTAGGTTTGGGCTTGATTTATTCTTGTTTCTCTAGTACCTTGAGGTGTGACCTTAGATTGTCCATTTGTGCTCTTTTGGACTTTTTAATGTAGGCCTTTACTGCTATAAATATTCCTCTTATCACTGCTTTTGCTGTATCCCAGAGGTTTTAATAGGTTGCATCACTATTATCGTTTAATTAAAATAACTTTTTATTTTCCATCCTGATTTCATTGTTGACCCAATGATCATTCAGCAGCAAATTATTTAACTGGCATGTATTTGCATGGTTTTGCAGGTTCCTTTTGGAGTTCATTTCCAATTTTATTCCACTGTGGCCTAAGAGAGTACTTCAAATAATTTCAATTTTCTTAAATCTATTAAGACTTGTTGTGGCCTATCATATGTTCTATCTTGGAGAATGTTCCATGTGCTGATAAATAGAATGTATATTCTGCAGTTGTTGGCTATAATAATCTGCAAATATTTACTAAGTCCATTTGTTCTAGGGTATAGTTTAAGTCTATTGTTTCTTTGTTGACTTCGTGTATTGATGACCTGTCTAGTGCTCTCAGTGAAGTATTGAAGTCCCCCCACTATTACTGTGTTGCCATCTATCTCCTTTCTTAGGTCTAGTATTGTTTTATAAATTTTGGAGCTTCAGTGTTAGGTGCATATATACATTTAGGACTGTCATATTTTTCTGTTGGACTATACCTCTTATCATTATATAATGTCCCCCTTTGTCTTTTTTAGCTATTGTCACTTTAAAATCTGTTTGTCTGTTGTAAGAATAGTGATTTCTGTTCACTGTTGGTGTTCATTTGCATGGAATGTATAGTCCCACCTCTTTACCTTAAGTTTATGTGAGTCCTTATGTGTTAGGTGAGTGCCTTGAAGATAGCAAATACTCAGTTGGTAAATTCTTATCCATTCTGCCATTCTGTATCTTTTAATTAGAGCATCTGGCTGGGCAAGGTAGCTCATGCCTGTAATCCCAGCACTTTAGGAGACTGAGGCAGATAGATCACCTGAGGTCAAAAGCTTGAGACCAGCCTGACCAACATGGAGAAATCTCATCTCTACTAAATATACAAAATTAGCTGGGTGTGGTGGCACATGCCTGTAATTCCAGCTACTCAGGAGACTAAGGCAGGAGAATTGCTTGAACCCAGGAGGTAGAGACTACAGTGAGCCGAGATTGTGCCATTGCATTCCAGCCTGGGCAATAAGAGCAAAACTCCATCTCAAAAAAAAAAAAGAAAAGAAAAAGAAAAAGTAGAGCATTTAGACCATTTGCATTCAGCATTAGTCTTGAGATGTGAGGTCCTATTCTATTCATTATGCTAGTTGTTGCCCAAATACCTTTTTTTTACATTGTGCTATTGTTCTATAGGTCATGTGAGAATTATCCTCTAAGAATGTTCTACTTTGGCGTATTTTGAGGATTTGTTTCAAGATGCAGAGCTTCTTTTAGTTATTTTAGTGCTGGCTCGGTAGTGACAAACTCTCTCAGCATTTGTTTGCCTAAAAAGGGCTGTATCTTTCCTCCATTTATGAAGTTTAGTATTGCTGGATACAAAATTCTTGGCTGATAATTGTTTTGTTTAAGGAGGTTAATGCTAGGACCACAATCCCTTCTAGCTTGCATGGTTCCTGCTGAGAAATCTGCTTTAATCTGATAGGTTTTCTTTTCTAGGTTACCTGGTGCTTTTGCCTCATAGCTCTTAAGACTGTTTCCTTCATCTTGATTTTAGATAACTTGATGACTATGTGCCTAGGTGATAATCTTTTTGTGATGAACTTCTGGGTGTTCTTCAAGCTTCTTGTATTTGGATGTCCAGATCTCTAGAAAGGCCAGGGATATTTTCCTCAATTATTCCCTCAAATATGTTTTCCAGACTTCTATATTTCTATTCTTCTTCAGGAACACCAATTATTCTTAGGTTTGGTCATTTAACATAATCCTAAACTTCTTGGAGGCTTTGTTAATTTTTTTTAATTCTTTTTTTTTTTTTTGTCTTTGTTGCATCGGGTTAATTCAAAATCCTTGTGTCAAGCTCTGAAGTTCTTTCTTCAATATGTTTGATTCTATCGTTGAGACTTTCCAGTGTATTTTGCATTTCTCCAAGTGTGTCTTTCATTTCCAGAAGTCGTGACTGTTTTTTATTTGTGCCATTTCTCTGGATAATTTCCCATCCATATCCTGAAAAATTTTTTGAATTTAAGTTGATATTGATCTTTCTCTGGTGCCTTCTTGAGTAGCTTAATAATTGGCTTTCTTAATTATTTTTCTAGCCATTGAAAGATTTCTTATTGGTTTGGATCCATTGCTGGTCAGCTACTGTGATCTTTTGGGGTACTAAAGAACCTGTTTTGTCATATTACCAGAATTGTTGTGTTGGTTCCTTCTCATTTGGGTAAACTGTATCAGAGAAAAGATCTGGGGCTCAAGGGCTGCTCTTCAGATCCTTTAGTCCCATGGAGTGCTCCTGTGATGTGGTGCTCTCCCCCTTTTCCTAATGATGGGGCTTCCTGAGAGCTGGACTCCAGTGATTGTGATTTCTCTTCTGGGATAGCCACCCAGCAGAGCTATGAGGCTCCAGGCTGGTAACTGGGGAGTATCTGCAAAGAGTCCTGTGATGTCGTCTGACTTCAGGTCTCTCAGCAGTGGATACCAGCACCTGCTCTGGTGGAGGTAGCAGGGGAATAAGGTGGACTCTGTGTGGGACTTTGGTTGTAGTTCTGTTTAGTGTGCTACTTTTCTTGAATGCTGATTGTGCTGGCAGCAAAGTTGTCACATGGTCAGACTCAGGACATCTGGTTAGCCAAGATGTTACAGGCAGTGGAGTTAGCTGTTGTTTTCTCCTTCTTGAGGGCAGGGTTGTTCTTTTATAAGTTGCTGCGCTGGTTGGCCTCCAGCCAGCAAGTGGCACTTTCAAAACATCATCAGCTGTGGTAGTATAGGGAGGAAACAAGCTTGCTCTAGGATCACCTGGATAAGTACTCAGGTTTCTCAGGTGGTGGGCAGGGCTGTAGAGCTCCCTAGAGATTTATGTCTTTTGTCTTCAGCTACCAGGGCTGATAGAGAAAGACCATCAGGTGGGGGCAAGCTGTGTGAGCTCAGACTCTCCTTGGGTGGGGCTTGCTGCAGCTGCTGTGGGAGAGAGGGGTGTATTTCTCAGGTCAAAGGGATTATGGCTGCCTCTACTGCGTCACACAGGTCAACAGGTCAGTGAGGGAAAGCCGGCAGTGACAGGCTTCACTCAGCTCCCAGGTAGACAGAAAGGCTGGTCTCACTCCCACTGTGCTCCCCCAACAACACAGAGTTTATATCCAGGCAGCTGATGAGCAGGGCTTGGAACAGGCTCCAGGCTACCAGCCTCTCCTCTGAGAAAGCAAGCAGGGCTTTCAGGCTTCGGCCCCGCCTCTGTAGCTTCTGTGCCTGTGTCTGCACTTCCCGTTTGCCCCCAACCCCAGACTCTGCCTTGGAAAATTTACACTTGGTCAATATTATTACAAAGTTCAGCTGGAACTTTCGTTCTTCTTGTGGTCTTCCCCCAATTCCACTGGCAGCCCTCCCCAAAGACCCCTGTGAAATAAAATCAGAAATGGGTTCCCCAGGCTTCCTTGGAGACCAGCAGTGCCTACAGGCCTTTCCTGCTTCCTAGTCTACTTTTATAATTCTCTCCGCTCTCTAAATTCATTTCAGCTCTAGGTAAAGTTAAAGCCTTCTCCCGTGATCCAGATTTTCAGGCTCCCCAGTGAAGATGTATGCTTCTAGGCTGACTTTCACCCTCTCACACTTTGGGCGCTCACAGTTTTTTGACTGTTTCTTGGAATTTGCAGTGGCAAGCCACTTCTTTCAAAGGGCCTGTGAATTCTTATTTTCCTCGTATGTTCCTGTGGTACTTCTTGGAGCAAAAGTTTACGATGTGGTCTCATATGCTGTTCTGTCCATCCAAGTGGGAGCTACAAGTTAGTCCTGCCTCCTATTCACCATTTTCCCCTGAAGGCTTCAAGACCATGTCTTTTTAAAAAAATTATTTTTGTTGGGAAGCTAAGGTGGGGAGATCACAAGGTCAGGATTTCAAGACCAGCCTGACCAACATGGTAAAACCCCATCTAAAATCATAAAAAAATTAGCTGGGCAAGGTGACATGTGCCTGTAATCTCAGCTACTCAGGAGACAGAGGCAGGAGAATTACTTCAACCGGGACCCAGGAGGCGGAGGTTGCAGTGAGCCAAGATCATGGTGCTGTACTCTAGCCTGGGCTACAGAGCAAGAGTCTGTCTCAAAGAAATAATAAAATAAAATATTTTTGATACAATCTTTACTTGATTTGTATTGTCGTATTCCTAAGAAATTCAAGTGTCTATTATAAAATCCTAATAACTTTGTGTTGATATGTTAAACACAATTAGTAGTAAGCTTAATTAGACACAGATTTTTTAGCTACATGATTGTCAGTTCAAGTGAAAGTCCCAGGGGTTGAAGGACAATTCTTGCTTCTATAGCGCTGTTGTGTGCACTGAATGTGACCTAGTATGTAACCACCATGGCTTCTGGCCAATTATTGTGACAACAAAAACACTCCCACAAATTCATAAAACGTCCACTAGGGGGTAGTACCACTTCACTGAGAACTACTGCTGAAGAGCTTTAGAGTCTTTAATATGATAATATGAGCTGCAAAGACAGAAACAAGGATAGGATACTTTTTTCCCCAAGTACAGGTAGTATCGCGTCACTAATCATACTTCTGGAAATGTTGGTATTAATAATTTTTAAAAGTGTATTCAATAGTGAGTACATACTATCGGTCACAAGTGAACAGCTAGAACGTTTTGGAGACGTGTTCTATGGATGATGGAAAGCCTGATAGTTGGCTGAATCTCTCAGTGCACCAACAATACAGAAAAGATGTCATCTCTAAGAAGATAAACGGGAAGGAGCTGATAGAGACTTTCTAGGATACTCAGACATCACAGACACAGCCTGAGTCTCATTAGTGGCTATTCAGAATAAATGATTTTTTTAAAGTTTCATATGTGGAGTCTAGGATGTTCCTTTGAAGTTAGCCTTAGAGTCCTTAGACATATTCATTGATAAAACTTATTTTTCAAGGGCCATAAGTGTCTCTAGGTCTATTTCCCAAAAGGAAAGGGGACTTGTGGATCAGCCCAGTGAATGAGGGAGTGTTGACTATTTTTTCATTATCAATTCAAAATAAAAAATTTAGACAATAAAATGTTTATTTTCACTATTTTCCCAAGCCTGTGGATTTTATGAGTATTGAAAGACCTATTTAAATTGGAAAGTCTACATTTTAGAATTTACTTTTCTCAAACCTGGCTTTAACTTATAACCCAATGTTTACCAGAAAAATAAATCAAAGCCACATTATTCAGGGCCTAGTGAGGCTGAAAATGTCCTGATCTCTACCATGAGTAGAAACAGACTCAAGTAAACAATTACAGAGCAATTGGTGAGCACTATTAGCCATAGGATCACAGAGAAAAGACACTTCTTCAACTTGGAGCTTGAAAAGAGTTTCTTGAAGACTAACTAGGAGGGGACCAGAATTATCTCCTTAATTATACTGTCAATTTTAACAGATTTGAAGCATGAGAATAATGTTTCTGATTTTCAGAAGTATTTATCAGGCATTGGTACCACCTGGTGGCCATTTTAATTAAACCTAAAATTATTGTTTAAAAGAACTGGAAGCTTTTTCCCTTTACTAGGCAAGAGGATCGCTGGAGCCCAGGAGGTCAAAGCTACAGTGGCCTGTGATGGTGCCACTGCACTCCAGCTAAGGTGACAATGAGAACCTGCCTCAAAAAAAGAAAAAAAGAAATTTACAGCTATAACTACATCAAAGTTAAATATTTCTGTTTAGCAAAGGACAACAAACAATATATTTTCCATGCCTAAAACCAACATTAGAGTAAGCATCACTTTATACCTATCAAAAATTAGGGGGGGAAAGCCTGATATAATCAAGTGTTAGTGAAACTATGAGAAAACAGAAACCTTCAAGTACTGTTGGTAGGAAAGGAATTTGACAGTCCTTATAGTTAGCTATCTGTGGGAGACCAGAATATGCCTTCCCTAAATAAAGGATTGTTGAGCTAAAGATGATTAAGAAGCAGCAGATGGGACAGGCACATTCATTTAAACAATGAAATTCCTGTTTTACTATGAGGAAACTGAGATAAAAGAAGGTAGTTGCCTGACGGTCACAGTAAGAGCTGGGATGTATACCCAGGACATCTGGTTCCTCAGCCTATGTGGCTCACATCTGTAATTCCAGCACTTTGGGAGGCCAAGGAGGCGGATCACCTGAGGTCTGGAGTTTGAGACCAGTCTGGTAAACATGATGACAACCCATCTCTACTAAATATACAAAAATTAGCTGGGTGTGGTGGTGGGCACCTGTAATCCCAGCTACTTGGGTGGCTGAGGCACGAGAATCACTTGAACCTGGGAGGTGGAAGTTGCAGTAAGCCGAGATCATGCCACTGCACTCCAGCCTGGGTGACAGAATGAGACTGTGGCTCCAGAAAAAAAGCAGCAGCAGCAGCAGATGCAGGAGAGCCCTCTGCCCTCCTTCTATTTGCCTGAAAGCAGGACACAAATTTATAAGAAAAAGGGTATCCTACTACCTCATGGACAACAAAGGTTAACCACTGAAGGCTTTAAACCCTCATCAGCCTTGAAATGATACCGGAGGAAATTCATTTTCACAAGCTTGGCTAACCTTTATCTGCCATTTGTCTGCCTTCCCCACAAGTTGCTACTTGTAGAGACCCCAAGTCTTTTTCCTTTGTGCTGTCACTTCTCTAAAAATTTACTGTTCTTTGTTGAAAATAAAATAAAAGCTGGAATTCAAAGCTACCTCTTTGAGAACGACTCATTGTCTGGGTGTCTCCCTTGTACGTATAAAATATACATGTTAATAAACTTGTTTTTCTCTTGTTAATCTGTCTTAACAGGGGTCTTTTCCAATTACAAAGGTATGGGAGTTACTTTCTCCCTACATATCCATCCTACAACCCAACAATCACATTCCTGGATGTATTCATTTTCTATTTCTGTGTAACAAATTACTCCATGATTTGGTGGCTTAAAAATAAACAGTAAAACAACACTTATTATCTCAAAGGTTAAAAAGTCAAACATGACTTTCCTGAATGCCCTGAATCGCAATCTTTTGAAAGACTGCAATCAAGGACCTGGAGCTATAGCCAGCTTAAGGATCAATGTGGTTGTTGGTAAGCTCAGAAGATTCATTTTCAAGCTCACTCATATAGTGTTGCAGGCCCTAAGGGACATCAGTTGTTGGCCAGGGACATCAGTTCCTTGCCACATGGACCTCTTCATAGGAAGCAGCTCACTTCCTCCAGAGCAAGAGCTCCAAAAGAGAGGGAATAAGAAATGGTGAGCAAGACAGAAATCACAGTTTCTCTGAAAACCAGTTTCAGAAGTTACATCGCATTATATTTGACACAATTCTATTTGTTAGAAAAGAATCACTACACCTCGTCCGTATTAAAAGAAAATACATTAAACAAGAGCATGAATATCAGGAGGGAGGAAACATTGGGAGCCATTTCAGAGGCTGCCCATCACACTGGGTATGTGTCCCAGAAACTCTTAACAAGGCCTCAAAATAAAAGAAAAAAATGAGCTTTTTAGCATAGCATTGTGCAAGATAATGACATGCAAGTCACTGACATGCCCAAAGATGGGAAAATGGATAAGAGAAAAGGTAGTATATGCATATGGCAGAATACTATGTAATAAAAAATAGTGAACCAAATTTATAAACAACACAGATCCATTTTAAAAACCTAATGCTGTCAGTATAAAAAAGTAATAAATAATAAAATACTTAGCAAAACAGTATTTCCTTAAATTTAACCCATAAATAAGTGTGAAGATTTTATTTTATACACATATATATATGTTTCTATATTTTTCAATCTATCTAAATAGAAGTATGGGAAGTAGACATCCATGGCATGAGTGACAACATGAGAAAGGAATGAGCATAATTACTTACAAGGACCAAAAACTGTGTGCAATGAACTGAGATAATCAATTCAGTTCTATGGATCTAAAGGCCTTAAAAACAAAGCCCAAAACCCAGGAGTAAAAATAACGTATCCCTCCACGGCTATGTTCCAGCCCCTGAGTTCCTTCCTACAGATAGCCACAGTTACTGACTATAAAAGATATATACACATGTATGAAGTCTTTGTACAGGTTGTTTACCAGTTCTTTTTCAGCCCACCTACCCTTCTATACTCTGAACATCTGGGGCTGGGAGGTATCAAACTATTTCTAGGCTCTCTTGCCTCTCTTGTTAGGCACCTAAGGGAACTGAGAAGGCTGAAAAAAGAAAGAGAAAGGCTTTTGACTCCCAATGTGTGGCAGCTGGTGGCAGATGCTCTTGTAGCTCTGAGAATGAAGTGAATCCAGATGACCAGCTAAGGCAGAGGCAAAACCCTTTAGCTAAGTGACACCTCTTCAGCCAATCCAAGCTTGACTCTAACCGTGCCTCCAATGGTGCAGCAGCCAGCCCAGGGGCATCTCCAACTTCTGATCCCTGATATCACCCCTTCATCTTCCTTTTTACTGGTTCAGCCCCATTTGTCTTTCTTTTTGCAATTCCAGCTCTTTTATGTCAGAGCACCTGAAAAATACTGCTTTATTATTAATCTCAGAATCATTAGACCCCAAAATTTTAAACAATGAAATTCCTGTTTTACTATGAGGAAACTGAGATAAAAGAAGGTAGTTGCCTGACGGTCACAGTAAGAGCTGGGATGTATACCCAGGACATCTGGTTCCTCAGCCTATGCACTTAATCATATTCTCTACACTTTCTTTCACACATGTATGTGTAGAGTAAAAATACACTTCCATATGGTGTCATGTTAAAGGAAAGATATGCATGGTAAAGATAGCTAAATAATGTCTGTGGGCCTTTTAAGTAAGTATGTTTATTTTGAATCCTCATTCCTTAGAAAAAGAAAAATTTGGAAAAAATAGTTATAAAATAAAGGGACATAACCAGTCTCCCTTCCTTCTTGATAAATTATTTCATATGCTAAGGTAAAATTAAATAAGTTTTCATATGTCACACCATAGATGTGCTGCTAAACTTTCCAAAGTTTAGTCAGAGAGGCATGCCAGGTTAGGTGAGGATATTATCACACCTATTCTAACTGCCAGGTGTGTTCACCTTCCCCACTGCCTAGACAGCCAATTTATCAAGACAGGAGAATTGCAGTAGAGAAAGAGTAATTCAAGCAAAGCCACTGTGCCGGAGACCTGAGTTTTATTATTACTCAAATCAGTCTCCCCGTATGGGATCAGAGTTTTTAAAGACAATCTGGTGGGTAGGGTCTTGGGAAGTGGGGAGTGCTGATTGGTCAGGTTGGCAATAAAATCATAGGGGGTCAAAGGGAGTTTTTCTTGCTGTCTTCTATTCCTGGGTAGGATGGCAGAACTGGTTGAGTTAGATTACGGGTCTGAGTAGTGTCCACTGATCCACTGAGTACAGGGTCTGCAAAATATCTCAAGCACTGATCTTAGGTTTTACAGTAGTGATGTTCTACCCAGGAGCAATTTGCGGAAGTTCAGACTCTTGGAGCCAGAGTTGCATGACCCCTTAACTGTAATTTCCAACCCTGTAGTTAATTTGTTAGTCCTACAAAGGCAGACTGGTCTCCAGGTGACAAAGGTGTCTTTTGAGAAAACAAAATTGTTATCAGTTTTGTTTCAGAATCAAACCATGAACTGAATTCCTTCCCAAAGTTAGTTTGGCCTATGCCCAGGAATAAACAAGGAGAGCTTAAAGGTTAAAGGCAAGATGGAGTTGGTTAGGTCTGATTTCTTTTACTATCATCGTTTCCTCAGTTGTAATTTTCAAAGGCGGTTTCACTATTTCCCATGTTAGATTTTCTTTCATCATAAGGTATTTTGAAATACCAAAGGAAGTACTAAGAAAAGCCATATCACACCCTTTAAAATTATCTTTGAAAAAAGAGAAAGTATTTCTCTTATTCTTGCTTACACTGTACATTCTCAAACCACAGAACCATGGAGAAAAGTATAGGTCACTGATGTTACTATTACTGAAATAGAAAAGTCCAAAGCTAGAAGCTGTCAGAATACTTTATTCCCCAAGCTTGTAGGTCTTCATCCAACTTTTATGGGCTTCAGCTTCCAAATATCTGACAGCAAACAAGCATATTTCTGCAAACATTCACTGTGCTAAACACTCCTAATGAAAATAAGTTGCTTTTCATTTTCTAAGACAGACTTCTGGATTGCCAAAATTAAAAATTGCTAGTCCTCTGTTATGTGCCACCTCCCTAACAATAACCTCACATAAAAGGAAGCACTGTTTTTCTCTTTTTGTTTATCTAATATCATCCTCTTCCCTTTTGCTAACATTAACAATAACAACTAAAAGAAAAAAAATGAGTCCTTTTGTAGAACTTTTTTTAGAAAGGAAAGAAGAAAAGAAAGAAAAAAAAAGGAGTGAAGGAGAGGAAGAAAGGAAGAAAAAGAGGGAGAACGGGAATATTGCTTTATTTTAAAAATGGGTATTAATAATGGCCGATCAATATTTTGTGTGTTTAAAGTGGAGAATGTATACTTTGTGTATTTAAAATGAAGAGCTCTATAAATATTTATTAAGTTTACTTGTTCCAGATCTGAGTTCAAGTCCTGGTTGTCCTCATCAATTTTCTGTCTCGTTAAGTCTAAATCTCTTTATGGGTCTTATGTATCTGGGTGTTAGAATTGTTAGCTCTTACTGTTGCATTGATCCTTTTACCACTATATCTTTGTTGCTTTAAAATCTATTTTATCAGATGTGAGAATTACAACTCCTGCTTTTTATTTATTTATTTTTGCTCTCCATTTGGTTGGTAAGTCTTTCTCCATCCCTTTGAGTCTTTGTGTATCTTTGGATGTGAAATGGGTCTGGATGCAGCATACCATTAGGTTTTGGCTGTATCTTTTGATTAGGGGATTTAGTTGACTTAAATTTAGGGTTACTGCCATTTGATGTTAACTGGCTATTTTATCCATTTGTTTATATAAATTCTTCTTTATGTTGATGTTCTTTACTTTGTGGTATATTTTTAGAAAGGCTAATACTGATTGTTCCTTTCTATGTATAATGCTTCTTTCAGAAGCTTTTGCAAAGCAGGCCTGGTGGTAATAAAATCTGAGTACTTGCTTGTTCATAAAATATTTTATTTTTCCTTCAATTGTGAAGCTTAGTTTGGCAGGATATAAAATTCTGGGCTGAAAGTTCTCTTCTTTAAGGATGTTGAATATTGGCCCCCACTCTCTTCTAGCTTGTAAGGTTTCTGCTGAGAGATCTGCTGTAAGTCTAATAGGCTTCCCTTTATGGGTAATCTGACCTTTCTCTCTGGCTGCCCTTAGTATTTTCTCCTTCATTTCAACCCTGGTGAATCTGATGATTATGTGCCTTGGGTTTGCTCTTCTTGAGGAATATCTTTGTGGTGTTCTCTGTATTACCAGGGGTTGAATATTGTCCTGCTTTGCTAGATTGGGAAAGTTTTCTGGAATAATAGTATTTTCCAACTTGGATTCATTCTCTTTGTTGTATTCAGGTACACCTATCAAACGTAAATTAGGTCTTTTCACACAGTCCCATATTTCCTGGAGACTCTGCTCATTTCTTTTTATCCTTTTTTCTCTATTCTTGTTTTCTCATTTTATTTCATTAAGTTGGTCTTCGAGCTCTGATATTCTTTCTTCTGCTTGATCAATTCGGCTATTCAAACTTGTGCATATTTCGCAAAGTTCTCGTGTTGTTTTTCAACTCTCTATATTGTCTATTCTTGTTAGCATTTTGTCAAACCTTTTTTCAAAGTTCTTAGTTTCTTTACATTGGGTTAGAACGAGTTCTTTTAACTCCCAGAAGTTTCTTATCATCCAACTTCTGAAGCCTACTTCTGTTAATGGAACACAGTCCTTTTCCATCAGGGCTTGTTCCGTTGCTGATGAGGATCTGTAATCCCCTGTAGAGGAAGAAGGGTTCTGATTTTGGGTATTCTCAGCCTTTTTAGGCTGGTGTCTTCCCTTTGTTATAAATTTATCCATCTGTGGTCTTTACAATTACCGCCTTTCTAATTAGGTTTCTGAGTGGCTCTCCAGTTTATTGATTCCCAACCCTGGAATCCGAGCAACCCACTGCGCCGGCCAAAACATCAGTGTAATACTGATGGTGCTCTTCTGCCCGGGAATCTCCGGTCTGGCTTTCTTCTTGAGTCCGTAATAAGTGGCTCTGCCTTCCCAGAGCTCCAAACATTGGTCAGAAGGGGAACCAGTCCTGTTTACTCTCCACGAAGAGCTGCCGTGCTGAGGCGCCAGCAAAACCACTGCACCGGCTACAAGAGTCATGCTGGCGACCCGTGGGGCTCCTCCACTGGGAATCTTCTGGTCCGTGAGCAACAAAGTTCGTCTGAAAGTGTGGCGTCCTCTCGTTCTCTGCGCTTTCACTGGGAGCTACAATCCCGAGCTGTTAGCGATCAGCCATCTTGGATCCTCTGGAACTCTTCTAACAGAGATTAGATGGAACTGAATAAACATACATACCCTCTTTCTGTCATACTAACTTTTCTCTAAAGAACATCTCAGAAATCAGTGATGAATAGGTTGCTCAAAAAACTATCAATATTTACTCGTTTCTCTAAATCATCTAATAGCAAAGGAAAAATTATTTCTTTTCCTCTAACACTAGCTTATATTAGCTAATATAGATATATAATTATTCACCTTATAAACTTTATATAAACACAGTATTGTAATATAAGCTAATATTAGAGAAAAATATATATTTTAAAAGATATGTATTTATATATTCGCTAATATATATAATCTTCCTATATTAGCATTATATAACATGGTAATACTTTTAACTCAGGTTTATTCTGAAATAATTATAGGTGCACAGAGAAAAAAAATTAATATACAACTAATCCTTGAACAGCATGGAGTTAGGGCCCACCACCCACACCATTGAAAATCCACAGATCATCCCCCAAAACTTAACTACCAACAGCCTACTATGGACTGGAAGCCTTCACAATAACATAAACAGTCAATTAACACATATTTTATAAGTTATATATATACATCTGTATTCCTACAATAAAGTAAGCTAAAGAACATATTAAGAAAGTCAAGAGAAAATACATTTACAGTACTGTGTTGTATTTATCGATACTGTAAGCTGACATCATCTGTTTACAAGGTGAACCATCTGAAATGGTGGACACAGCTGCAAACCACAATCTACAGTACATATCAAGCAACTCAATGTTTTCTTGTCATGATTTTTCTCTGCTTCTTGGGAGCACTTTCAACATTACTAGTGGCATTTCATAGAGGTCACATGGTGTTATTTAAAGCTTACAGTATTGCACTGAACACAGTGAAAAATATGCAAGAACCAACAAAGATCAATCACTTTTTACTGTGATAAGCAATTTACCAGAGAAATGAGCTGCTCATGCAGAGATGATTAGAGTAATATGGCATTTCAACTGGATACTCCCAACATGAGCTCACTACAATAGCAACAGGAAATGGCTCCAAAATTATTATAATACTACAGTGTCAGTACAGTTAATTTTATGAAGTTATGACTGAATACTACATTTTTACATCTGTTTACATTTCTTGGAAGGTGAATGGCACCATGTATAAGATGTGTTGCTGTGTGTAAGTTTTGATAAATGTTAACTTTCTATAATACATGTGCATATATTTTATGGTAGTAAATGATAAAATAGACTAGCATACATTTTATGCATTCATGCCATGTCTTTTTCTTAATTTTTTGATATTTCTAGGCTACATGGTTTGTCTGTTTTTTCAAACTATTGCAAATCTTCAAAATGTTTTCCAATATATTTACTGAAAAAAAATCCAACTACAAGTGAACCCACGCAATTCAAACCCATATTGTTCGTGGGTCAACTAGGAAGTCTCCCCCAATGGTAACATCTCACATAACATAGTACAGGATCAAAACGAGGATACTGACACCACCACAAGCCAATATCTAAAGTAAGAGGCTGCCCACTCTGAAGTAAGACTGCAAACACTTGGAGTCATGTCCTCTTAGCCTCCCCAATCCCTCCTTGTATATTAGTCTGTTTTTACACTGCTCTAAAGAACTATCTGAGACTGGGTAATTTATGAAGAAAAAAGGTTTAATTGATTCACGGTTCCACAGGCTTAATAGGAAGCATCACTAGAAGGCCTCAGGATACTTACAATCGTGGCAGAAGGCAAACGGAAAGCAAGCGCCTTCTTTACATGGTGGCAGAAGAGGGGATGAGGGGAAGTGCCAAACACTGATGTCCATCAGAGCTCATGAGAACTCACTTACTATCACAAGAACAGCATAGGGAAAACCACCACCCTATGATCCAATCACCTCCCACCATGTCCCTCCCCCAACACTGGGAATTACAATTCAACATTGTAATTGGGTGGAGATTTGGGTGGAGACACAGAGTCAAACCATACCACTCCTCCACCTCAAGCCACCTTCCAGAGTACTTTTATTTTTTTTGAGATGGAGTTTCGCTCTTATTACCCAGGCTGGAGTGCAATGGCGCAATCTTGGCTCACCACAACCTCCGCCTCCTGGGTTCAGGCAATTCTCCTGCGTCAGCCTCCTGAGTAGCTGGGATTACAGGCACATGCCACCATGCCCAGCTAATTTTTTGTATTTTTAGTAGAGACGGGGTTTCACCATGTTGACCAGGATGGTCTCAATCTCTTGACCTTGTGATCCACCCGCCTCAGCCTCCCAAAGTGCTGGGATTAGAGGCGTGAGTCACCACGCCTGGCCCCAGAGTACTATTAAAACCAGTAAAACCTGTACTGTGTAGAAATGATGCATGGGGATTCACTAAAGGTAATTTTTGTACCCACTCAAGAAAACAGTAGCAGAAAAGTCAGGCTACTTTAAAGGAATCTATAAGGGTACATCTACTCTCATCTGAACTTTAACCGTAGTAGGTGTTTGGGGAAAGAAGGTTGCCCTAATTCTATAATCAGACCAAGTATTACCCATCAGAAGTTGCACAGTGAAATGAATTGTAAATATATAGAGTATCAGTTAGTTATTGCCAATAATGCTGCATAAGAAACCACCCCCAAAACACCCCAAAACTCAGTGCCTTAAAATAATAATCATTTATTCTTGTATTTATGGGTTTGAGTTGTTTGGGGTAACACTGCTTCAAAAGTTCCATCCTGAGTCCTATTGGGGAGGCAGTGACTACCCAGAAATGTTTTTCCAGTGGTGATGGTGGAAGGACAAGAACACAAGTGCAAATAAGCATCTTTGTTCCCTGACAAAGATGATATACTCTCAAGAATAATACTTTAATCCATAACTATTTTTCCCTGACTATGAGTATCAGACCATTTCCTATAAAGAAAGCAAGAGGAAAAACATGACTAGGGAGGGCAAAGAGTTAGGTGTAAACGGAACAATCCTAAATAAACTTTTGCTCCATCACCAATTTACCTAGGGTCAAAGTCTATCTACTATCACAAAAGGCAAAATGCCAAAATAGGAACTTTACCATCAGAATGTGGACTTTTTAAAGACTCTCCTTGAGACAAAGAACAAGACATTCCAGGCTATTCAGTATCATCATCTTAGGAATCTAGTAATATTCCACAGAGACTTCTACAACACTCTCTTAGTATATAACACTCTTGAATCCAGATGTACACTGATTTATCTTGTCCTTTGTTGAGTGGTCTGCCCATCAGCATTATTCTGGTCTAAATCTATAAACACAGGAAAACTACCCAGTATATTTTCTAGTTCTTGAATATTCCCCAATTGTTTTTCTTCTCTGTATAGGTCATTTATGGTTCTCTGTCCACATGATTATTTATAAACAGCATATGTGACATTATATACAATAAAGTTACCTGTAGGAAGAAAATAATTTACTGTGTGTTAAAATTGAACAGTCTGTGCTAATACCACAGTATCAGACTTCTGTGGTTGACTAATTAGCACTACTCATATAAAATTTAACAATGTATAAGATTAGATGCAGATTTGGCTTCTATAAACAAAATGAAGTCTTGACCAATACAAACAACTCCCTTTACAAGTTATATTTACCACCCTTCCAAAGCCTTAAAAATTTGCTTGACTTCTTGCCTCATGAATGGACTCTCAAAGAATTAAAGCAAATCAATGTCCAACCAAGAAGACCACTCATTTTTCAAAATGTAGCTCAAATCAGATTGTACTAACTACATACTTGAGGACCTATGCATTGTGCTATATTTATGGTGCCCTAAAGAAATACATAGCCTAGTTGGAGACAAAAACACATACATATAAAAATGGTAATAACTCATGAGGTTTATAAAAACTAACCATGTAGGACAGATGGTAACTGCTATAGAAGTTCAATGAATAGATCACTATAGTATAGACTGAGCTTCACTGAATAATGCCTAGAAAATATTAAAAGAGAAAACATGCCAAACATCAAGATTATAAGATTATAAAAGAGACAGTCTCGTAAACTATATTACATTGTAGGTACAACCTTTCTGAAAAGGATTTTTCTATGTACTGAGATTCTTGTATGCTCTTTGACACAGTAAATTCATTCTTACATATATGTTCTGAGAAAAATAATGAGAAATGAAACAGATTTTTACAGAAAAAAAAAAGAAAAGAAAAACCCTGGAAATGCCCAGTCACAAAAATTGTTAATTCAGTGTTGGTATGTCAGAGTATCAATTGTCTAATGTCACAACAATGCTCTGTATCAATCATAAATCCTCCTTCCTCCAGATATTGAGGGTTAAAAAATAAAGAAAGAAAAAAAATTGTAAATCCTCAGGGGCATACAAGTTTATTGCTCATGTGTCTGGGGTGAGCCTCTCCCGGCCAACTGCCCATGTTGGGCACTGGGACAGCTTTAAACACCGGATCTGAGCCTGGTAATTCCTGGAAAAATCTGAATACCACCACTGGGGAGCTGAGCTCATCTTCTACCAAGATCTTGATGTAGTTCACTTTCTTCAAACTTTCCTGCAACCGTTGACTCAGTTGACAGGCATGCTTGATCCTCTCCATAATCCCATCAAGTCCCAAGTATTGTAAAGACAACCACAGAGGCAGGGCACGGAGTTTGTCTGCGGGCTTATTTGATGTAAGACCAGCAACTAAAGTCAAGGCGGGGTCATCGTGTTTATACGGTGTCACCGCAGGAACAGCTGGCAAACCCAGCCACGGACCTGGAGTCATCGTCATGCTATAACATTTGGTTGCAGCCAGCACGGACGAGGAGACATAACCTAGAGCCAGTGTTGCCAGATTCACGCCCTCCACGTGAAGCCATATGCCATACTGCTCACAGAGTTCCTTCAATCGCCCGATCTTGTCTGTGTGTCCTACTGCTGCAGTTCCCGCATTTGCAACAAGCAACAGGGGCAGTCTTCCTCGTTCTACATCATCTTTAATCAGTTTCTCCATGAAGGCAACATCCATCTGATGCTGGGATCCAAACATAGTGTTACAGGGTACACGGCATAGGCAGGGGAAGGGCAAGCCGAGCTGATGACAAAGGTATTGGCCCAGGCCAGGTCTAGCAGCAGCACTAAGATATATGACAGGCTTTTTGTTATATAACACATTGAACCCATCCACTACAAAGTCTTCATATCGAGAATGAATGGCAAGCCTGCATATCTTTGCAAGTCCTTCTCTTTCCTCTTCGTGGAAATAAGCACAGCCATTTTCATATCTGAAAATTCTGCATAGCCATAAGGTGGTATCTGAAAGTATCCTAGTTGTAAGTTTTCTCAGCTTCTCCTTGTCCAGAGTTGAAATATAAGCTCCCAGACTATGTCCCAACAAAGCCATATGACCTTGTTCTCCAATATTTTGGATTCTGGGGCTCTGGGGTTCCTCATCTTCATCTCCATGCATCAGATTCTGAACCAGCTGGAGGATGCTCACCATATCTTGTCCACTGCCCGGGAGTGGCCCCGGAATATCCCCTGACACAAGCTTCTTTCCATTTTCCTCTTCTGTTCTTCTCTGACTGTCCTCCAACATCTTCATTGCCTTCTTCAAGTTTTTTCCCATTTAACCCTCACATGTCTGAGGGTTAGCTGGCTTCAGGTATGGCAACCTGGATTTGTTCTTCCTCTCTAACAGATTCCACTAAGCATTTTCTCACAGCAGTGGCAGAGGATCAAGAAAAAACATGCTAGCTCTCTGAGGCTTAGGCTCAGAACCTGCACCTCATTCTAATCTCCATAGCCCAGAATAAAAGTAAAAGGGCACTACAAAGTGACATCAGAAAAAACAATCTTGTGATGCATCTTAAAGAACTAGAAAAGCAAGAGCAAACTAAACCAAAAATTAGTAGAAGAAAATAAGTAATAAAGATCAGGGCAGAAATAAATGAAATTAAAATAAAATACAAAAGATCAACAAAATAAAAGGTTGGTTTTTCTGAAAAGATAAACAAAACTGGTGACCTTTTAGTAAGACTAAGAAAAAAAGAAAAAGACCCAAATAAATAAAATCAGAGATGAAAAAAAGAAACATTACAACAAATACTGTAGAAATTAAAAGGATCATTAGAGACTACTAGGAGCAAGTATATGCCAATAAATGGGAAAACCTAGAAGAAATGGACAAATTCCTAGACACATAAAACCTAGTAGGATTGAACCATGAAGAAATCCAAAATCTGAACAAAGCAATAAAAAATAGCAAGATCAAAGCCAAAAAGTCTCCCAGCAAAGAAAAGCCTGGGACCTGATGACTAAAAGTCACTGCAGACTTTTAGCAAACATTTAAGGAAAAGCTAATACCAATTCTACTCAAACACTTCTAAAAAATAAAGAAGGCGGGAATACTTCCAAACTCATTCTATGAGGCCATTATTACTCTTGACTATTAACCAGGCACATATTAAAAAAAAATAAATAAAACTATAGGCCAATATCACTGATGAATATTTATGTAAAAATCCTCAACAAAATACTAGCAAACAAAATTCAACATCATGTAAAAAGGCCATTCATCATGACCAGCTGGAATTTATCCCAGGGCTGCAAATAGTTCAACATATGCAAATCAATCAACGTGATATACCATATCAACAGAACGAAAGACAAAAAGAAAAAAATGATCATTTCAATTGATGCTAAAACAAGCATTTGATAAAACTCAACATCTGTTCCGGATAAAAACTCCAAGAAAGAACAAACCTCAACATAATAAAAGTCGTATATGGTAGACTCACAGCTAGTACCATGCTGAATGGGAAAAAAACCTGAAAGCCTTTCCTCTAAGATCTGAAATACAACAAAAAGAGGCTCACTTTCACCACTCTTATTCGTCATAGTACTGGAAGTCCTAGCTAGAGCAATCAGGCAAGAGAAAGAAAGAAAGGACATCCAAATTGGAGAGAAAGAAGTCAAATTATCCTTGTTTGCCAATGATAGGATCTTTTAATTAGAAAAACCTGAAGACCACCAAAAAACTACTAGAACTGATAAACTAATTCAGTAAAGTTGTATAATACAAAATCAACATATAAAAATCAGTAGCATTTCTATATACCAACAATAAACAATCTGAAAAGGAAATCAATAAAGTAATTTCACTTACAATAGCTACAGATAAATATCTAGGAATTTTAAAAAGTGAGATCTCTGCAATAAAAACTATAAAACATTCATGTACAAAATTGAAGAGGACACAAAAAATAGAAAGATATCCCATGTTAATGTATTAAAAGAATCAATATTGTTAAAATGTCCAAACTACCCAAAGTAATTTACAGATTCAATGCAATCCCTATCAAAGCATCAGTGACATTCTTCACAGAAATAGAAAAAAAATCCTAAGATGTAAATGAAACCACAAAAGACCCAGAATAGCCAAAGCTATCTGAAGCAAAAAGAAGAAAACTGGAGGAATCACATTACCTGACTTTAAATTATACTACAAAGGTATAATAACCAAAACAGCCTGGTACTGGCATAGAAACAGACACAGACCAATAGAGAGCCCAAAAACAAATCCATACATCCCCTATGAGCTCATTTTTGACAAAGGTGCCAAGCACATTCATTGGGGGAAAGGACAGTCTCCTCCAATTAACTGTACTGGAAAAACTGGATTATCAATATGCAGAAGAATAAAACTAGACCCATCTCCTACCACATACAAAAAATTTTTAAAATGAATTAAAGACTTAAATCTAAGATCTCAAACTATGAAACTAACAAGAGAAAAACACTGGAAAATCTCTCCAGGACATTGATCTGAGCAAGGATTTCTTGAGTAATACCCTAAAAGCACAGGTAACCAAAGCAAAATTGGACAAATAAGATCACATAAAATTAAAAAGATTCTACACAGCAAAGGAAACAATCAACAAAGTGAAGACATAACCCATAGAATGGGAGAACGTGCTTGCAAACTATCCATCTGGTAAGGAATTAATAACCAGAATACATAAGAAGCTCAAACAACTCTATAGGAAAAAAATCTAATAATCCAATCAAAACATGAGCAAAAGATTTGAATAGACATTTCTCAATATACATTTCATATACAAATGGCAAACAGGTGAAAAGGTGCTCAACATCATTGATTATCAGAGAAATGCAAGTCAAAACTACAATGAGATATCATCTCACTCCAATAAAACTATAAAGACAGTAAAATGATTAGTGGTTGCTAAGAGTTTAGGGTTCAGGATGATTAGGGGAAGCACAGGTCATTTTTAGGACATTAAAATTCTGTATAATACTATAATGCAGATACAAGACATTACCAATCTGTCAAAACCCTAGAAATTTACAACACAAAAAGTAAATTTAACAAAATCATTTAGGTCAGGTGATCCCAGGAAGAAATACAGACTATGATAAGACTAACTCTTTTACAAGTATATGAAATAATTGCACTAAAGGGAATGGGGAAAAGGTGCTGACTGAAGTAACTCTGGAAATGAGTACAGTCAGTAATACTAGGGGCAAAAGGGAACTGCACATAAAGCATTTATGGTAGTTAATAAAATTGTTTTTTACAGGGTGCAGGTTAGTAATACTTGTACTACTATACTTGTATACTGAAATTTACTAAGTAAATGGATGGCAGATAATGGAAATCAGGTGTTGGAGTGGGAGTTCACAGATAAACAAGGATAGGAAGCTAGACTGATCCAAGCAGTAATTAATTATAATTAGAGACCTCAGTATGACTTCATGTTTACTTTAATGTAGATATATTTGGTTACATATAGCAGTATTTACAAATATATATAAATATATAGATTAGTAAAACAGCATTTTAAAAAATTCTATTAACTAAGAGGAACTAAATGAAATGACCGCTTAGTAGCAGGAAGCATACCTAGCACCTAGATGTTGGTTTCTAAAACCATTCTCCAATTAAAAACAAAAAAAAGAGCTCCTTGCAAAAATGACCAATTCTAGGGCAATAAATATACAAGATAAGTCTGCAACAGCTTATAGTACCAGAATGTAAGGAAATGCTGAACACATACACACACCATAACACAATGATGGTGGTTTGTCAAGGACCATACCCCCAAAAGAGACAACTGAAAGAGCTCCCAATGGCCAAAGCTAGAATAATTCAAAAAACAAAATAATTAAAATAGTATCAGATTATAACACAAAGTAAAAAATAAATATTCATGACTCTATATGACTATACGATTGAAATAATTAGTAAATTACAAAGAGACAAATCTCCCATCCAGGAAAATTTGAAATAATTTATGTAGATACCCCATGGTTAAGGAAGGGCAGTATAACTTATCACCTCTTAGGTGTGGGCTGTGCAGTGACTCCCTTCCAAAGTTTACAGTAAGGAAAGGGGGAAAAAAAGAGTAACTTTACAGTGGAGAAATCTGACAAGCACAACCTCAGTCTGGTGATCAAGGTCAACATCAACAGTGAGAAATCATGTCGATAGTAAGCACCATTGAAATTATGTCATGAAAATGGTACTTTGCCTCTGTCGCTTTTCTCCCAATAAACTATAACCCATCTTATCATGAGAAAACATCAGACAAATTCCAATAGCAGGGCATCCCATAAAATATCTGAGCAGCATTCCTCAAAACTGTTAAGATCATCAAAAACAAAGGAAATTTAAGAAACTGCCACTACCAAGAGGAGCATAAGGAAACATGACAACTAAATGTTGGATGAAGCCCTGGCAAAGAAAATTAGGTAATAACTAAGGAACTCTAAATATATGTATTTTAGTTAATAATAATGTATCAATATTGGCTCATTAATTATAACAAAATTATATTTTATATCATGCTGATATAAAATGTTAACAGGGAAAACCGGGCATGAGAATATAGGAATTCTCTATACTGTTTTCTTAATTTTTCTGTAAGCATAAAATTAAATAAAAAATAAAGTATGTTAAAAAACAAAAATATCAAAACATTAACAGTGACAAAATGTTAACAGTGAATCGCTGTGGTAGGTTATGGGTTAATTTCTAGTTTTGTCTTTGGTTCCCTATACCACATCAATTTTCCAGAACAAACTCTATGACTCTATGCTGCTCTAAAACGTGAATGCATACAGAATGAAACAATTAACAAGTCATTTCTCAACTTGTTAACAAGTCAATTCTCAACTTGTTTAAATTCTAAACACTAAAACTGTTTATAAATTTTAAAAGCAGATACTATTGAATTACAATTTGTTGCATACTGACTAAGCTAACAATTTTATCAATCTTCTATGTAGTGAACAGTATTATACCCTTTTTAAAAAACTAAAGAAATAGATGTTCAGAAAGTTTCAGTCATATAGCTAATAAGTGACAGGTAAGATGATTCCAAAACATTTTCATTTTTATCATACAGCCTCCCAAGAATCGTCTAGCACTTAATAAACTAGTTCTAGTACATATTTCGTCTTAAAGTACTTCACAACAATGCTGTAAAGCAGGTGATAAAGACCATATTTATGTGAAACTGTGTCAGAAGGAAAATGTGTGACAGGCAGCACTGCAGTGCTAATTCCAACAAAAACAAAACAAAACTGCCATCAGTTAAAAGAATACAAGCAACATTGCTACAGAAACAGCAGCTGCCCAACCTATTCCAAATAATCTTTAATTACTGGAGAACTTGTTTTGTCAGACTACACCATGAATCATGTCTCTTCCCTAGACAATAAAGCAGTTTTCAAAATGTATCAAGTCAATCAACTAAAATTGAATTTTCTTATCACATTATTTTGAAGTACAGAAAGATACCTAGACTGATTTCTTGCCATCATCAAGGCTCACTAACCCCCACTGATCAAGTTGTTTCAGCATGTGACAGAACTGATAAGCTGAGAACACATAACACTGACATCAGTATTTTTTTATAAAGCCATTTCATGATTCCTTAAATCACAGATGACTCAACTCAAACTGCCCTATTTTTAAGTATATTGGTTCCTCACGATGCAAAGTAAGCTAAGAGTAGATTACAAATGAGGCCTGAAGAAGAAAAATTCAAATCCTGCCCAAAGACCTTTATCAGTGGGTACCACTGGTCAATTCTGGAACAATATTAACATCAAAATAAAAACAACAAGAAAACAACCAATCTGCTATGGACTGGATGTTTATGTTGCCCCAAAATTGATATGTTGACACCCTAATCTCTAATGTGATGGCATTAGGAGGTGGGTCATTAAGAGGTAATTAACTAGGTCATGAAAGTGGAGCCCTTATTGATGGGCTTAGTGCTCTTACAAAGGGATGAGAGATTCTAGAGAGCTCTCCCTCTGCTATGTGAGAAGATGGCAAGAAATAGCCACATTATGTGCAAACCAGGAAGAGGGTTCTTACCAGAATCTGACCATGCTAGCTAGAACCCTGATCTCAGACTTCCTAGCCTCCAGAACTGTGAAAAAAATGTTTGCTTTTTATTAAGCTACCTAGTCTATCAACTAAAACACAACCCAATTCTTAAAAATAGATGAAAGATCACGGCCAGGCGCAGTGGTTCACGCCTCTAATCACAGCACTTTGGGAGGCCGAGGCGGGTGGATCACGAGGTCAAGAGATCAAGACCATCCTGGTCAACATGGTGAAACCCATCTCTACTAAAAATACAAAAAATTAGCTGGGCATGGTGGCATGTGCCTGTAATCCCAGCTACTCAGGAGGCTGAGGCAGGGGAATTGCCTGAACCCAGGGGGCGGAGGTCGCGGTGAGCCGAGATCACGCCATTGCACTCCAGCCTGGGTAACAAGAGTGAAACTCCATCTCAAAAAAAAAAAAGAAAGATCTGAACAGCCATTTACTGACAAAAAGATATACATAACAAATAAGCACATGAAAAGGTGTTTGGCATTACTGGCCAGTATGGAAATGCAAATTAAAATCACAAAAAGACACCACCATCCACCTATCTGGATGGCTTCTTTTTTAAACTGACACCACCAAAAAACAAGAAGGAAGAAAGAGTTAAGTGAAACTCCCATACACTGTTGGTGAGAAAGCACAGTGGCACAAGCCACTCTGAAAAACAGTTTGGCAGGTTTTTACAAAGTTAAATATATGCTTAACTACAGGAGCCAACAATCCCACTCCTAGTTATTTACCCAAGTAAAATAAAATCCTGTACAGAAATGTTCATAGCAGCTTTACTCATAATCAGCAAAAACTAGAAACTCAAACATACCTTATCATAGGAATGGATAAACTGTGGTATGTATATATACACACACATACACACACACACACACACACACATAATGCAATACTACTCAGAAATAAAAAGGAACCCACTTTGATTTACAGATCACCTTACATGAATCACAAGTGCACCATGCTGAGTGAAAGAAACCAAACTTAAAAGGCTACATACTGTACAATTTCATTTACATGTTTTGGAAAAAGCAACTATAAAGTCAGAAAACAGATCAGAAGTTACCAGGGGTTAAGGATGGAAGAATCTGAAAAAGAAAAAAGACATGGAATTCTTTTCGGGTGGATGTGATAGAACTGTTCTATAATTGGATTGTAGTAATTACATTATCTATGTGTTAAAAATCATAGATCTGTACATCAAAAAAACATTTCACTATCTGTACACTGAAAATAATTTTTTTAAAAAATCAAGTAAAAATAACAATTGCAAAGGGCTAAATCCCATTGTATTAAAGTAAAAATTCAAGAGTCCACAATGATGTGAAAAACAAATAAATAAGTAAATATACGAAAAAAGAGCTCTTCTTTATAACAGAAAACCAACAAATAACCAAGTTTGGGAACATCTGGAATAATGAACAGCATACGTTTCCTGATTCTATGCATTGAGAATTTGGCATCACTCCTGGCATAGTTCTACCAAAAGGACATAACCTAAAATTAATCATGAAAAAGCATCAGACAAACCCAAGTTGAGGTCACTCTACAAAACTGGCTTGAACTCTTCAAAAATGTCAATTACATAAAACATTATACTCAGAACTAGTCCAGATTAAAGAAGACTGAAGAGATATGAGAATCTAATACAATACACAATCTTAGATTTACTATTTTTGTTAAGTACTTTATTAGGATAACTGACATCTCAATATGGTCTATCAATTAGATATCAGTTTTGTGTCAATGTTAATTTTCTGATAGTGATCACTACGCTGTGATTCAAGAATTCCTGGTTTTTTGGGTGGGGGGAACACTGAAATATTTAGAGGATAAAGATGCATCATGGCTGCATTTTACTCTTAAATGGTTTAGGGAAAAATAATTAGTGAGAAGGGGAAAGAAAGCAAATGAGGTAAAATGTTTACATTTGGCAAATGTGGGCAAATGGTATCCAAGAATTCTTGCAACCTTTCCGTAAGTCTGAAATTATGGATTAATTAAAAATGTTTTTTTTAATTTTAACATTCCTTGGGCTAGAAATAACATACCTAGTTATGCAAGGACTGACTCAATGTGAACACATTTACTAAAATTAAAGAGTCTAGGAAAACTCTGGTACTAAGTACCGACCAGGGAGGCATCTCCTGGCAAACAGCCCAGAGCTTCTGGGTTCTACTGTGGCAAGGAATTAGCTTGATGCTGTTTGTTAAACATCTCAATTACACAAGCAACTCTACCCCTCAACTTTTCTTGCTCATCAGTGACTTAATGGGGGTGTGAGGGGACAGAGTCTCACTCTTTCACCCAGGCTGGAGTGCAGTGGTGAGATCTTGATTCACTGCATCCTCCACCTCCTGGGTTCAAACGATTCTCCTGCCTCAGCCTTCCAAGTAGCTGGGACTATAGGTGCACACTACCATGCCGAGCTAATTTTTGTAATTTTAAGAGATGGGGCTTTGCTATGTTAGCCAGGCTGGTCTTGAACTCCTGGCCTCAAGTGATCCGCCCTCCTCGGCCTCCCAAAGTGCTGGGTTTACAGGAGTGAGCTACCGTGCCTGGCCCATCAGTGACTTTTGACTCTAAATCAGCAGCTTCAAGTGCAGATCTGGCTACAAAAAAATAACGATCATACTGACTTGTAAATTAGTTGTATTTATAAATTGGTTATAAATCATGTTCTTGTACATTTGATTAATACTAGCCTTTCCAAGTCATAACAACTTTGGGACACGATTAAGAATACTGGGGGACCCACAAGTCTCTTGAGTATGGGAACCATACTATAGTATGGTCATTTAACTTCGTGCAAGCTCTTAAATGACAGTGTTTCTCTTAGCTACATTCGTTTGCCTTGTCACATCTTCCAATCAAGAAGTTTCAATACTTATAGAGCATCAAAATGAGTAAGACTAAATAAATAAGACTAAATAAGGTTAGTGGGAAACTACATTTTTCAGTGGGAAAATTATATAAGTACTTAAATAACATGAACAATTCTACTTCGGAAAATTGCCTAAGATACTTTCTCATATAAATACGACACCGATGCAACCATTTCAAACACATGGGAAAAGGCAAGAATGGTTTTATTTTCATGCTTTAAAGTATCTTGACATAGAAGAGGTAAACACAGACCACCAGTGAGAACTTGCTTTTGTCAAGCTTACCTTTGAAGAACTAGGACAAGCCATTCCTGCTAGGCCACCACCAAAGATAGGATATGGCTTTTAGATCCACAATTTTAACAAAATATGCAGACAGAAAAGAAGCTTCTATAGAAAAATTGCGCCTTCCTTCCTAACTTCAAATTTGGGGAGTCCAATATAAAAAAAAGGAAAAATGTTCCACACAGTGGCACTTGCTCAGTCTCTTTATTTAGTGGTACACATATAACTAATGAATTAGTTCTTAGTTGTGGCATATTAAGTCTGATCTTGCTTGTAGAAATACGATCTTAATATTTCATTCTCGGAACACTTTAAAACCCAAGCCACAGTTTCTCTTTCAAGGATGTGGAAAGCATTCCTCATTCAAATCTGATGAATGGTTTTGTAAAATATGTGACTCATTTTTATTAGTCATTATCTTCATGCTGGATTCTAATATTCTTTTTGATGGTGATGTGTTCAATGATAGAAACTTATAGAGAGAAAATTCCTTCCTTCTCAATTTATAAACAAAAATTTTAAAAGCAACATTTTTGATGTGGTAGGAAGACATTTATATGACATAAGCAGCTACTGCCCTAAACTGGCAAAAATAACAAAAGAGCAAATTGTTATTTAACCTTTAAATAACGAGCCTCTATTTGCTAAAAAATCTACAAATATTTTAAAAATATTTCCTTCTACTGCCATAAAAATTAGATAACCCTGTTTAACAGCTTTTGAAGATATTAATTTTATAAGGAAATAAAAAGATTGACTTGCCTCCTGAATGTCCAGTGATAATGAACCCTAATTTCCCTACCTCAAAAACACAAAAAATGATGTAAAGTGGATCAAAGTACAAGTTAATATTAAAAATCATTCTTCATATGGCCTTTCACTAAAGTAACAATGAAAAGATGAATGTAAAAATGTGTTTTTGCTTGAAGATTTAGCGAATGTCCAAGGAATCACAATTTTTGAGCTTTTACATCCAGAGTACTATACTATGTGAATATACTAGAATGCCTCACATTAAAAAAAGCACAGTGATAAAATTCCACATGTAAAATAACCTAAATATTAATAATAATTCCATTCTTCATTACCTTTTATTATCTAAAACTTCAAAGCCATCCATCTTTTCAGTGTTTTGAGTAAGCAATCAAAACAATCATGCTTTATTCAGTTTTAAAACTAAATTTCTCCTCTTGAAATCTGGAGACATAGATGGAAGAGACACTTAAGGTAATCTTGTCCAACTTCTTAATCCCACGTATGTGGAAACAGTCTACAACATCTCATTATGTCATCATTGATGTACCTTCTCCACCAGTAGCATCTTGGGAAATATGAAGGTCTTCAAGCATCTCAGCCAGACTAATTCGAGGTGCTCCTTCATCATCTGTGTCACTTTCCACAGGGATGGCTGAATCTAAGAAAAACACAAAGAGAATAAAATAAATACAAAGTATTTATACGTATACAAAGTATTAAATAAGTATATTCTGAAAGTATACAAATATCTACCTTCTTTATTATTATTATTATGTAACTATATTATGTCAGAAGCTCTTGTCTCTTATAGCAGGCATCCAAATTATATTCACTGAATGAATGAACTGAATAACTGTATCAATATACTTCCACCACTATAGGAGGGAGAAACTTAAGGGATCAAGCTAGGATGCAAATAATATTAACTGTAATATAGAAAACAGTATTTTACTAAGTTTTATTTACTGTTTCGGAAGTTTTTTCTGTAAAAGTCTGACTAGAGCAGTTGCATAAATTAAAAACATTTATGAGAATCAAAGCTGAAGATACCAAAATATTCATACTGGAAACTATATTTATATACAGAACAAGTAACTTAAATACTCTTAGAACCCCAACCTCTGTAAATGTTGACATTTTTTCTAATTGTCTCATCTTCTTCAAGATCTTCAAGAAAATCTTGGTATTGCCTATAAAATAAACATTTACAAATTTTATCACCAAAAATACACAGGTATATTTTCTTCATCTTAAGTATGTAAATTGCTGTTTCCCACTCACATTTCATGAAACAATTTTATATAAACCCTGTTTTTTTTAAGACATCAGCATCTTCACCATCATTAAAGCCACTTTTTGAATCATCCAATAAACTGTTTTAGAACACTGTCTTCATTTCTGCTTAAATTATTTAAGAAATATAACACACTTGCCATCAATAAGCTGTTTCCTTTTTATCTCAAGCCGTAAGTACTCGTCTATTTATGATATTCATAAGGTAATTATTTATTATAAAGTATGTGCCATATACTCTATGATGCTAACACAACAAAATCACCTAATGATGCATTTCTCAGAAAGTATGCCCATTGCTAAGCAAAGTATGACTATCTTTTAGCTTTTCAAATGAATTGTTTACATAAACACTACAATTATTAGGTCATAAACCAAGAAATAATTACTAAAATCTGTGTTAAATGTCTTTACACCATCTTATACTGATTCTATTAATACCTTGATTAGAATCCAAGATTAATATTGAGTCCAAATAACAATTGTGTGATGCCTATTTCTTTACTACATAAAGGTATTTATCATAAAGATTTCCTTTGAGACAACATAAGAGATTTAAAGAAAAGCGAGACCTTTCATCATCTGTATCCATGTTTTCTCTCTCTCTTGCAAGCTCTTTCAATTTCCAGTTTCTACGACGCTGACGTTTGGTCCGGTCATAGCTCTTCTTGATTAATACCTGTAAGAGAAATATTTGTAAAGTTATAAAGAATGGGAACTATACCATGAGGCCACAAAATTCAATAAAGCTAAAAAATGAAAGGTTATGGGAATGCCAGAGAAGTCACCAACCTAATGACAGTGGTTACACCTCAAGAGAAAGGAGTAGGGATAGAGGCAGTGTTAAGAGGACTTTTAAAATTTTTCTCCATGTATTTAACTTTTTATGAGAATGCATTCAAGCATTATTTGTATAATTGTTAAAATTTACTAACTACATTTTTCAGTGACTGAATACCGTTTTTCTTAACAAAAACTGCAGTTTTCTTTCAACTCAAACCTAGTTTTCAGCTACTATTCATATAAATCATTCTGAACATCACAAGCAGATACTTTTTTCTCTCTTATTCCCACCAATAAACATTTACAGAACTATATATAACTTTCACAACAATATATCTTAGAACACTTGTTTAAATTATGGAATGAATAAATGAAAATACTTTCACAAAACACAAAATCTTGCAAGATTGCCATGATTTCCTCTTATGACCTTGTTAGAAATACCTATTTAGACTTACACTCCAACTATGCTGTTATTCCTAATTTGTCAACTAATAAAAGTACAACTGGGCAGGTGGTCAAAACTCTTGATTTGCCATGGCTCTATTTTTTTTTTTTTTTAATCACTGCTAATGAAATCAATGTTTATTCTAAAAGATTAAGCAAGTAGGAGGCAGGGTCTTTCATACTAACTTCATCCACAATTTCTCATGATTCTTAACCTCATCATGATGGAACTTAACAGATTTTTCAGAAGTAATAGTCTTTTCCAAGACTTGAGACTGAGAAGATTATTTTTCACTGATATTATATTCAGCTTTGAATAACAGTCTTAACTCTAAATGCCTTTTTAACTGAGTAATATACATGAAACAAAGTGAGCCTAATAAAAATGAACCTGAATGCTAAATGTCATCATGTTTAGCTATTTATTTATTTATTTATTTATTTATTTGAGACAGAGTCTTGCTCTGTCACTCAGACTGGAGTACAGTGGTGTGATCTTGGCTCGCAGCAACCTCCACCTTGGGTTTAAGCAATTCTCCTGCCTCAGCCTCCTGAGTAGCTAGGACTACAGGTCCATGCAATCACGCCTGGCTAATTTTTTGCATTTTAGGGGTTTTGGTCAGGCGCGGTGGCTCAAGCCTGTAATCCCAGCACTTTGGGAGGCCGAGACGGGTGGATCACAGGGTCGAGAGATCGAGACCATCCTGGTCAACATGTTGAAACCCCGTCTCTACTAAAAATACGAAAAATTAGCTGGGCATGGTGGCACGTGCCTATAATCTCAGCTACTCGGGAGGCTGAAGGAGAATTGCCTGAACCCAGGAGGCGGAGGTTGCGGTGAGCCGAGATCGCGCCATTGCACTCCAGCCTGGGCAACAAGAGCGAAACTACGTCTCAAAAAAAAAAAAGACAGGGTTTCACTGTGTTGCCCAGGTTGGTCTCAAACTCCTAAGCTAAGGCAATCCACCCACCTCAGCCTCCCAGACTGCTGGGATTACAGGTGTGAGCCAGTACGCCCAGCTAAATTTATTTTTGCTCTACAGATAATATCAGGTATTTTGACAATGAAAATGTGATTAGAAGAGGAACAACAACAACAAAAAAATCACAATATGTCTTGGATTTGCCCCAAGAAGAAAAATTATTTAAAATGAAGCCAGGCATGACAGGTGACACCTGTAATCCCAGCTACTTGGGAGGTTGAGGTGGGAGGATCACTTGAAGCCAGGGTTTCGAAAGCAGCCTGAGCAATATAACAAGACCCTGTCTCTACAAAACATTTTTAAAACATTAGCTGGGAGTGGTGGCATGTGCCTATAGTCTCAGCTACTCAGGAGGCTGAGATGGTAGGATTACTTGAGCTCAGAAGTTTGAGGCTGCAGTGAGTGATGATAATGACACTGCACACAAACCTGGACAATAGAGCAAGACTCCTGTTTCTTAAAAAAAAAAAAAAAAAAAAGAAGACGACTTTTGCTATTATGCCTTATCTGCAGTTTCAAAAATCTCTAAATTGATTTGTTATTTTCAAAAGTGTGATACCTCTTACCCCTAAGAGTTACATTCATCCTCTTTAACACCGGAAAAAAGAAAAAAATCTAAAGCCTTACCACATCTGGAACTCTGTCTGAGTTCATTTTGTTGACATGTTCATCATTTAAGTTACAGTTGGCCAAATCAAACCTGAAATGTAAACGATGAAAAACTTAATGACCATTTACCCTTTGTGTGTAACTTTTTATTTCATGGATATCACCTAAAACTTCCTAAAAATCAAACATTCAACATGCTTCCCACTTTAAAAGTTCTGTCATTTATTATACAATACACATGCTTCTGTAGATGCTGGTAAAGATAAGGAACTCTGAGTTTCGCTTATAATCAATTATTGTCCGCCTTGCCATACATTTGTAAAAGAGGCAAAACAGACTTATATACCAGTCCAACTTTAGAATTCAGTTAGATGCTTCCTTCTAGTTTATTTTAAACAAAACAAAACAAACAAACAAAAAACCTCATTCTCTAATAAACTGAAATCCTAAAAGTAAAAGTAATATTTGAGGGTTTAATCACACACTCACTGATAAGCTCTGATTCAGAAAGAACTGATCTATGCCTTTATAAGCCCTTTGTATACATGGTTGCCATATCTTAAAAGTGAGTTATCTGAGCAGTAGCAAATACACAATAAAAAACGATCCAAATCTGCAAAAGAAGCTCTAAATATGGATCTAACCATACAACTTCAAAGTTTAATTAACAAAATCTTAGAACAAATTATTCTTTAAGATTATGACCAAAATGGAGTACCTATGGGCTTCGTCCAATCCACAGTTTAATTTAGTTATCAACAATAAAATGAGTTATAAGGCTCCTAAGAAACCCTTCGATCTTTTTGGAATAAATGATGTTAGTATTTAAGGTACTTTTTCTAGTTCCCAAAGAAAATTTGCAATCCTAATTGGCAGTTTAAAATATGAAATAATACAAACCCTAACACCAGGTCTCCAGGATTTAGAAGATGTCCCAAATGAGTACGACAAAAATACTGTTTATCTGTATTCAATTCAGATGTCTTCTGTACCCAAACTTCCCCGAGGGTATGCTTAAGAGGAAAGAAAATGTACTCTTCAATAATCTAAGCATAACTCTAAAAGCATCTCAGAGGAAAGTTAAATACAACATTGATTTTTGGTTTTCTAATTTTAAAAGAGACAAAAAAGTTTTTTTTAATTTTTCTGATATGTGAAACACTGTCAAAATTAACAAATTACTGAATCATAAGTATAGACTCACAAGCAATTCATAAAAATAAATCGACTTTTTCTAAGATTTTATTCAAGACTTTTATAAAACATTAACAATGTCCCTAAAAAATGTATAATTTTCAAAAAAACGTTTTCACAGGAAGATGGGCCAATACAGAGTAAACAAAATAACTGAAAAGGTAGGAGAATCTTAAATCAAGAAAGTATTCCAAGCAAACTCCTGCCTGACACAGGGTTCAGAAAATCAGGGTTCAGAAAAAAGAGCCTAGAAATCCTAGTAGTAAACCATTAGAGAAGCCAAATCTTTATCAAATTAATTTTTAGGTATTTACTAGTGGAAAGTATAATCATTCATATATATATATATATATATATATATATATATATATGTTGCAGAAACAACACCCCAAGTTTGAATTTTTTAAACTAGAAAACTATTAATTCGCTTTCCAAAACGCCAACACCTTTAATAAAGACAGATGAAGTGAAGTGAGTGAGATCAAGAGCAAAATATTAAGAGTTATAAATAAAATTAAGGATCTCAAAGTTATGAAAAGAATCAATGCTTCTTATTGCAGTTGGTAAAAGAAGAGGAAATGAAAAAGATAAAAATAAGTCGAGTGGAAGGAGAAACTAAAATAAAAGACAAGTCTCAGATTTAAGAATTGCAAAAGAAAAGTCAATTACTGTAAACTAAATTTTACTTAACAGGATTTATTTTCCAGCTATTAGACTGCTTCCGCTTATAAACTTATTAACCTGTTCTAGTTATTTTTTAAAAAACAAGAAAACATAATATCTGGTTTTATATCTGCCTGAGAAGAGTTGTGTTCTATTATTTATCATAAATGAAAGTTTGTCCTTAACTATATTAACTTAATTTTTAAATAAAATGTAGAAAGTCATCTGTCTTCCACTTCCACTGATTTTTTCCAAGTATCACAAGTTATTTTTGTCTCCAGAAGGATTAACACACACACACACACACACACACACACACACACACACACACAGAGTAATCTGGGAGTCTCTAGATACTATTTCACATTAAAAGAAGCAAGACTTGCATCTGTGAAGAAACAACTTGATTTCAGATATGGGTTAGAAACTATACATGTGATTGTGAACACCAGAATTTCTGTGTTGTGCCAGAAATCAAGGATGCTTTCAAAGACTAAGAAAGTCACATCAAAGGAACACAGGAACCATTCTGAAGGGGTTCCCATTGAATAAATGTGTGGCAGTATGAGAATTTGAAGAAAACAAAGGAAAGGCCAGGCACTCATGCTCATGCCTATAAGGGAGGCGGGAGGATTGCTTAACGCCAGGAGTTTGAGATCAGCCTGAAAACATAGTAAGACTTTACAAAAAATTAAAAATAAAAATTAGGTGTGACAGCAAGCTAAGGTGGTAAGATCAAGGTTACAGTGACCTATGATCGCACCAATGAACCCCAGCTCTGAGAGACAGAGAACTTGTTTCTTTAAAATAAAAAGTAAAAAAGGAAAAGACAAAGAGAGAGGAAGAGAAAAGAAAAAAAGAAAGAAAATACAGTAAATATATAATATATATGATCATAATGATAATCACAAAGAGAAACATCACCAAAGGCACAGCTGAACTAATTTTCACCACTGGAAATGACTCCTAGATCAACTCTTTACTCTGAAAATATTTGTTATAAGAATTAATTTATGCACAGGCCAAGTGACATGGCTCACGCCAGTAATCCCAATACTCTTGGAGGCCAAGGCAAGAGGATTCCTTGAGCCCAGGAGTTTGAGACCAGCCTGAATAACGTGGAGACCCCATCTCCACAAAGAAATCAAAAAATTAGCTGGGAATGGTGGCACACACTTGTGGTCCCAGCTACATAGGAGACTGAGGCAGGAGGATCACTTGAGTTCAGGAGTTTGAGGCTGCAGTGAGCTATGAAGCCACACCACACTTCCGCCCGATGACAAGGCAAGATCATGTCTAAAATTAATTAATTAATTAATTAAAAGAAGGTATGCAGAAGAGCATTTCAGGAAAGCTACATAGCCCTTAGTTAATAATGAAAAGCTCTTCCTTAAGAATGACAGCTAATACATGTTGAATAGAAACAGAAAATTAACCATTCTGTGACCCTAAATAAAATAATTTGGGTAAGAATTATCAACAGATGCTAAAGCCAGAAGAAAGAGAGATAACAGGAACTTAACACTTGCATATCATTACAGTATTAAGTCATAGATGGCTTGCTGGTCAGTAGGAAAAAAAAATTCTAACATTATAATGAAGGAATCTATCACTATGTTAACAAGTGAAACAGTCAGACATTACTTATCTCTTGATGTGGTATCATAAAAAGTACACAGCTTCATCTCTGAAATATTCTGGCAAGAGAAATTTAACCTAAATGTAACCAAACCTTTAGATCAACTTTCCAGTTTAGAGGAAATACAAGAAATTAAGAAGCAAAACGGGACTATTATTAAATAAAAGATGTAAAACGTATAATATTCCCATTTAATGTGTGGTCTCCAATTGAATACCTGTTGGAACAAAGCAAAAAAGGCACTTTTGGGACAAATGAGAAAATCTGTATACAGTAATCCCCCACTTATCCACAGTTTCACTTTAAAAGATTTTATCTGCCCACAGTCAATCACTGTCCAAAAATAGGTGGGTAGGGTTGAATTAGGTAACTTTGAAAAAGAGATTACATTCACATAACTTTTATTACAGTATATTGTTATAACTGGTCTATCTTATTATTATCATTGTTAATCTCTTACCGGGCCAAACTTACAAATTAAACTTTATGACAGATAAGTATATATAGGAAAAAACAATATACATAGAGTTTGGTACTACTGCGATTTCAAAAATCCACTGGGAGTCTTGGAATGTATCCCCATGGATAAGAAGGGAATACTGTATCAACTGCATGTTTTATAGGTACGGTAACAATATTTTCATTATGTATAAAAATATTCCTATGTGTGAGAGATGCACGCTGAAGTAGTTAGTATTTGGTGATGACTTTTTAAAAGTCAAGATGAAGAAAGGGAACAGCCGAGGGGGACTCAAGATGGCACGGTAAGAACAACCGAGGATTGAAGCTCTCGGTGAATGCACGGAGAGGGTGAGTCAGGGCCACATTTCCAGATGGATCTTTGTTGCCCACAGAACGGGGAAATTCCCAGGTATAAAAGAGACGCAGGATGCCAGGCAGAGGTTTTGGCTGCTGCAGCCGGCAGCCGGTGCAGCCGGTGGCCAGCGCTGTAGCGCAGCAGCGCTAAACAGCGCTCTGCACAAAGCGCACTGGTCCGGGTGCCCTGTTGAACCGGCAATCTGAGACTTGAAAGGGCTGAACTTGAGACTGAATGGGACTTGGACAGTGAGCAAGCCCAGGAGATTCCAGGGAAACAGCGTTTGGGATAGCGCAGTGGGACAAACAAAACGACGATTCCAAATGCTCCGGGTGGAGAGGTTTCCTGAGGGCACTGCTGACCCCAGGACAGTGCAGCTCCGTGGGGGAGGGGCGTCCGCCATTACCGAGGCAATCCGCCCCTACTGAGGTACACGCCCATTGCTGACGCAGCCTGCCATTGCTGAGACAACCCGTACAACAGAGAGACTCCGCCGCAGGGCGTAGCCTGTGGCAGCAGGGCAGAGCCTGCAGCAACAGGGCAGACCTCACACCAGCAGGGCAGAGCTTCGGCAGGCAAATAGTGACTAGACTGCCTCCTAGCTGGGCAGGACAGCACAACGGACACTAACAAAGAAAGCCCCAACACCCCCGCGAGACAGAGCATCTGAGAAAAAAAGGGTTTTTTATGAGTTCTGTTGCAGCAGAATTAAACGTAGCAGCCTAACAGCCCTAAATGAACAACAGAGCTCACAGCTCAGCACTTGAGCTCCTATAAAGTACAGACTGTCTCCTCAAGCAGCTCCCTGACCCCTCTATATCCAGAAGATGGACATTTGGCAGGCATCATTCTGGGAAAAAGAGAGCAGAAAAAGAAACTGGTAGCATCCCTCACTGTCCGCAGCTGCTATAGAGGCACCCCAGACAAACAGGGCCTGGAGTGAACCTCAGCAGTCGTACAGTGGAGGGGCTAGACTGGTAGAAGGAAAACCAAGTAACAGAAATACTTCATCGTCAACAATCTGGGCATCCACTCAGAGACCCAACTGAAAAGTCAGCAACTACACAGACGACAGGTGGATAAATCCACAAAGATGGGAAGAAACCAGCGCAAAAAGGAGGAAAACACCCGAAACCAGAACACCTCGCCTCCTACAAAGGACCAAAACTCCTCACCAGCAAGGGAACAAAGCTGGACGGAGAATGACTGTGACAAAATGACCAAATTAGACTTCAGAAGGTGGATAATGAGAAACTTTTGTGAGCTAAAAGAACATGTTTTAAACCAATGCAAAGAAACTAAGAACCTTGAAAAAATATTTGAAAAAAGATTCAAGGAAATGATAAAAAGAATGGATAAATAGAGAGGAATATGAATGAATTAAAGGAGCTCAAAAACACAATACGAGAACGTCGCGAAGCATGCACAAGTTTCAACAGCCGAATCGACCAAGCAGAAGAAAGAATATCAGAAGTCGAAGATCAACTCAATGAAATAAAATGAGAAACCAAAATTAGAGAAAAAAGTGCAAAAAGGAATGAACAAAGTCTCCAAGAAATGTGGGACTATGTGAAGAGACCTAACCTACGTTTGATAGGTGTACCAGAATGTGATGAAGAGAATGAATCCAAGCTGAAAAATACTCTTCAGGACATTATCCAGGAAAATTTCCCCCACCTAGCAAGACAGGCCAACACTCAAAATCAAAAAATACAGAGAACACCACAAAGATATTCTGCAAGAAGAGCAACCCCAAGGCACATAATTGTCAGATTCAACAAGGTTGAAATAAAGGAGAAAATACTAAGGGCAGCCAGAGAGAAAGGTTGGATCACCCACACAGGGAAGCCCATCAGACTCACAGCAGAACTCTCAGCAGAAACACTACAAGCCAGAAGACAGTGGGGGCCAATATTCAACATCCTTAAAGAAAAGAACTTTCAACCCAGAATTTCATATCCAGTCAAACTGAGCTTCAGAAGTGAAGGAAAAATAAAATCCTTTGTGAACAAGCAAGTACTCAGAGATTTTGTACCACCAGGCCTGCTTTACAAGAGCTCCTGAAAGAGGCACTACACATAGAAAGGAACAACCAGTACCAGCCATTCCAAAATGACACTAAATGCTAAAGAGCTTCAACATAATGAAGAATCTACAACAACTAACGGGCAAAACAGCCAGCTAGCATCAAAATGGCAGTATCAAATTCACTCATAACAATAATAACCCTAAATGTAAATGGACTAAATGCACCAATCAAAAGACACAGACTGGCAAATTGGATAAAAATCCAAAACCCATCAGTGTACTGTATCCAGGAAACCCATCTCACATGAAAGGATACACAAAGGCTAAAATAAAGGGATGGAGGAAGATTTACCAAGCAAATGGAGAGCAAAAAAAAGCAGGAGTTGCAATTCTCATCTCTGATAAAATAGACTTTAAAGCAACAAAAATCAGAAGAGACAAAGAAGGCCATTACATAATGGTAAAAGGATCGATACAACAAGAAGAGCTAACGATCCTAAACATATATGGACCCAATACAGGAGCACCGAGATACATAAGGCAAGTTCTTAATGACTTACAGAGACTTAGACGCCCACACAATAATAGTGGGAGACTTTAACAATCCACTGTCAATATTAGACAGATCAACCAGACAGAAAATCAACAAGGATATCCAGGGCTTGAACTCAGACCTGGAACAAGCAAGCCTGATAGACATTTACAGAACTCTCCACCCCAAATCCACAGAATATACATTCTTCTCAGCACCACATCACACCTACTCTAAAATTGACCACATAATTGGAAGTAAAGCACTCCTCAGCAAATGCAAAGCAACTGAAATAATAACAAACAATCTCTGAGACCACAGTGCAATCAAGTTAGAACTCAGAATTCAGAAACCAACCCAGAACCGCACAGCTTCACGGAAACTGAACAACTGGCTCTTGAACGTTGAGTGGGTAAACAATGAAATGAAGGCAGAAATAAAGAAGTTCTTTGAAACCAATGAGAACGAAGACAGAACATGCCAGAATCTCTGGGACACATTTAAAGCAGGCTCTAGAGGAAAATATATAGCAATAAGTGCCCATATGAGGAGAATGGAGAGATCCAAAACTGACACCCAATCGTCAAAATTGAAAGAGCTAGAGGAACAAGATCAAAAAAACTCAAAACCCAGCAGAAGACAAGAAATAACTAAGATCAGAGCTGAACTGAAGGAGATAGAGACACGAAAAGCCCTTCAAAAAATCAATAAATCCAAGAGCTGGTTTTTTGAAAAGATCAACAAAATACACAGACCACTAGCCAGACTGATTAAAAATAAAAGAGAGAACAACCAAATAGATGCAATAAAAAATGATAAAGGGGAAATCACCACAGATTCCACAGAAATTCAAACCATCATCAGAGAATATTACAAACAACTCTATGCGCATAAACTAGTAAACCTGGAAGAAATGGATAAATTCCTGGACTCCTGTGTCCTCCCAAGCCTAAACCAGGAGGAAGCTGAAACTATGAATAGACCAATAACAAGGTCAGAAGTCGAGGCAGCAATTAAGAGCCTACCACACAAAAAAAGCCCAGGTCCAGATGGGTTCACAGCCGAATTCTACCAGTCACACAAAGAGGAGCTGGTACCATTCCTTCTGAAACTATTCCAAATAATCCAAAAAGAGGGAATCCTTCCCAAATCATTTTGTGAGACCAATATCATCCTGATACCAAAACCCGGCATAGACCCAACAAGAAAAGAAAACTTCAGGCCAATATGCATGATGAATATAGATGCAAAATTCTTCAATAAAATATTGGCAAGCCAATTGCAACAGCAAATCAAAAAACTTATCCATCATGATCAAGTAGAATTTATCCCGGGGATACAAGGCTGGTTCAACATACGCAAGTCTATAAACGTAATTCACCACATAAACAGAACAAAAACAAAAACCACATGATTATCTCAATTGGCGCAGAGAAGGCATTTGACAAAATTCAACAGCCCTTTATGCTAAAAACCCTCAATAAACTCGGTATCGATGGAACGTATCTCAAAGTAATAAAAGCTATTTATGACAAACCAACAGCCAATATCATACTGAATGGGCAAAAACTGGAAGCATTCCCTTTGAAATCTGGCACTAGACAAGGATGCCCTCTTTCACCACTCCTATTCAATACAGTTCTGGAAGTTCTGGCCAGAGCAATCAGGCAAGAAAAAGAAATAAAGAGTATTCAAATAGTAAAGGTGGAAGCCAAATTGTCTCTATTTGCAGACGACATGATAGTATACCTAGAAGACCCCATCGCCTCAGCTCAAAAACTCCTGAAACAGATAAGCAACTTCAGCAAAGTCTCAGGATATAAAGTCAATGTGCAAAAATCACAAGCATTCCTATACACCAATAACAGACTTACACAGAGCCAAATCAACAATGAACTGCCATTCACAATTGCTACAAAAAGAATAAAATATCTAGGAATACAACTCACAAGGAACGTAATGGACCTCTTCAAGGAAAACTACAAAACACTGCTCAACGAAATAAGAGAGGACACAAACAGATAGAGGAACATTCCATGTTCATGGTTAGGAAAAATTAATATCGTGAAAATGGCTATACGACTACCCGAAGTAATTTACAGAATCAATGCTATCCCCATCAAGCTACCATTGACTTTCTTCAAGAACTGGAAAAAACCACGATGAACTTCATATGGAACCAAAACAGAGTCCACATAGCCAAGTCAGTTCTAAGCAAAAAGAACACAGCAGGGGGCATCACACTACCGGATTTCAAACTATACTACAAGGCTACAGTAATCAAAACAGCATGGTACTGGTACCAAAACAGAGATACAGACCAATGGAACAAAACAAAGGCATCGGAGGCAACACAACATATCTACAACCATACAATCTTTGATAAACCTGACAAAAACAAGCAATGGGGAAAGGATTCCCTGTTTAACAAATGGTGTTGGGAAAACTGGCTAGCCATGTGCAGAAAGCAGAAACTAGACCCCTTCCTGACACCTTACACTAAAATTAACTCCAGATGGATTAAAGACTTAAACATAAGACCTGGCACCATAAAAACCCTAGAAGGAAATCTAGGCAAAACCATCCAGGACATAGGAGTAGGCAAGGACTTCATGAACAAAACACCAAAAGCATTGGCAACAAAAGCCAAAATAGACAAATGGGACCTAATCAAACTCCACAGCTTCTGCACGGCAAAAGAAACAGTCACTAGAGTGAATCAGCAACCAACAGAATGGGAAAAAATTTTTGCAGTTTACCCATCTGACAAAGGGCTGATATCCAGAATTTACAAAGAACTCAAACAGATTTACAGGAAAAAAACAAGCCCATTCAAAATTGGGCAAAGGATATGAACAAACACTTTATAAAAGAAGACATAGATGAGGCCAACAATCATATGAAAAAATGCTCATCATCACTGGTCATCAGAGAGATGCAAATCAAAACCACATTGAGATACCATCTCACGCCAGTTAGAATGGCGATCATTAAAAAATCTGGAGACAACAGATGCTGGAAAGGATGTGGAGAAAAAGGAACACTTTTACACTGTTGGTGGGAGTGATTAGTTCAACCATTGTGGAAGACAGTGTGGCGATTCCTCAAGGCCTTAGAAATAGAAATTCCATTTGACCCAGCAATCCCATTACTGGGTATATATCCAAAGGACTATAAATTGTTCTACTATAAGGACATATGCACACGAATGTTCATTGCAGCACTGTTTACAATAGCAAAGACCTGGAATCACCCCAAATGCCCATTGATGATAGACTGAATTTGGAAAATGTGGCACATATACATCATGGAATATTATGCAGCGATCAGAAATGAGTTCGTGTCATTTGTAGGGACATGGATGAATCTGGAGAACATCATTCTCAGCAAACTGACACAAGAACAGAAAATGAAATACCGCATATTCTCACTCATAGGTGGGTGATGAAAAATGAGAACACATGGACACAGGGAGGGGAGTACTAAACACTGGGGTCTATTGGGGGGAAAAGGGGAGGGCCAGCGGAGCTGGGGAGGGATAGCCTGGGGAGAAATGCCAAATGTGGGTGAACGGGAGAAAGGAAGCAAAACACACTGCCATGTGTGTACCTATGCAACTGTCTTGCATGTTCTGCACATGTACCCCAAAACCTAAAATGCAATAAAAAATTAAAAAAAAAAAAAAAAAAGTCATGATAACCACTACAAAAATAAAGGTCCTCCTCTACAAAAATAATGCAAAGAAATGCTTTTTTTTAATAATGGAGTAAACATTTAAAAGATTTTTCCAACACAAAAGAGAATAAATTAACAGTCTAAGTCTAATAATTTCCACAATGATCACATATTAAAAAGACAAAATTTAAAAATAATTTTTTTTCCTAATGTGGTGCTAGGTTTGTATTCCATACTGTGGAATCACCAACAGATTTTTTTTTAAAGAGGGACGGAAACAATAATAACTGAGGGAAAAAAAAACAAAACACTGGCAGGCAGGATGCAGCTTACCTTTTTTGATATCATTCCAGCACCTGCACCTCTTTTTATATCTCTGACTATGCTGCAATCCATCACAATAAACTCCTCTAGCTGTTTGGGATGACATAAACTGTTGAAAGGGTGATTCCAGAAAGTGCTCCCATCAACATCTGCAACTAAAAATAAGGATAAAACACAAAAATATAAGAAAAACTACATATTTCAGAGTCATCAAATGTATTAACTAAGAAGAAACTCATAGATACCAACTAGGAAGTGGCAGATCAACAGAACTAGTGTTAACTCACTCCTTAGGGTCATCGTGTATACCTTTAAACCAACCCCAAACTTCTCAAAGCACAAGAAAAATATATCAGATGTCAAACATATCTTAAATAGTTACTACAATCAGAATGCCACATGGCTAAGAGCCTTTTAAATAAGATCAGATCCAATCAATGAGTGGTACAGTTGTTTCATGTGCTGGCACTTTATTTTAGAAACATATCTGTCATCTTAGGTGCTTAGTTTATAGGGAATAAAGACTAGTTCCACCAAACAGATAAAGACTGTCCATCCCAATACTGCAAGATCTTTAACTTATGAATCCTAACTGATAAAGACAATGAATGACTTTCCAGAAAAATATCAAAATAAATGCATTTTCTTAATAAAGGAAAGTTAAATTACAGAAAATGTATGAAAATGATCAAGTAGGAGGTACATCTAAATACTAAGATACCTACCAAAATATGGTCTTCTTTAAAAAATAATTTATTATATAAAGAAAATGTTAAAAAGAGACCTATAACAGTGACAAAATTGGTTAAAATTCATATTTAAACTATATGTTCCACTAGGCCACAAAAGTCAAATGTTCCAAAATTTAAAGTAACTGCTAGACACCAAATGTTGGCAACGGACTGAAGTAAATAGTCACAAAAATTCAATGAGGTAAATAAGTCAATTTCAGTAAAAATTAATGGAATAAATCAGTACATTTGGAAAAGTTAACAGAATTGTTTCCATAAATGAAAAATATAAGAGCAATCAAAGCTTTGCAATCCACAGTGTTTTGGATTAAACAATAGTACAAATTTTAACTAGCCTTTCAAAACATTAGCAAGCATGCTTGAAAAATTAACAGGGCAAATTATTATTCTTGCTTAGCATATAGAACAAAATTGTCAAGGCAAATCATTTCTAGAATTTACCTTGTAGGGTGTTTGGATCAATGAGGTGAATGGCACTGGTCACTCGAATACATACACAAATCTGGTTCATATTTCCCAGGCTTTGTGCCAGTTTTGGAGACAGACAGACAACATTATCCTAGGCATAAGAACTGACATTTAGAGTAAGGCATATCCTAAAAAATGGTCCAATAACCACTCATCAGTGGAAACCCAATCCAACTGCACTTGACCAACCAAAACATTATTTTTAATTGTATCAATCAACAAAGAGACTAAAGAAAAGAATCAGACCTTAACGAAACTGAAAATAATCTATTCTCTCTTATGATAGGCATTTTCTCTTAATAAAAATGCTTTAAAAAATCCTGGCTGAGCTATTGGTAGCTCACTCCTGTAATCCCAGCAATTTGGGAGGACAGTGTACAAGAACTGCTTGAACCCAGGAGTTCAAGTCTAGCCTGGACAACACATGGAGACCCTGTCTCCACAATTTTTTTTTTAATTAGCCAAACGTGGTGGTGCATACCTGTGGGCCTAGCTACTTGGGAGGCTGAGGTAGAATGACAGCTGTCATTTAGATATTCATTTACATATTATCCATGCTACTTTTGCACAACAGCAGCAAAGCTGGGTAGCTGCAAAAGAGTATTCCACCTAAAAGTTAAAAAATTTGCCATCCAGCCCTTTACAGAGAAAAGTTTGCTGACCCTATTTTAAGCTGTCATTTCATCCCTAGTACATACTATAAAATAGCAATGTGGCCTTGAAGCTTTAGAGACACAGATGTGGGTGCAAATCCTGGCTTTATCATTTTGACATCATGTAACTTTGGGCAAGTCGTCTAATCTCATGAAACTGCAATTTCTTCATCTTCAAAATGACATGTATGGCTTACCTCAGTTATTAGGAGATAAGAATGAGGTGAAAGACACTAAAGTATCTAGATTAACTTTATGTAGAATGGTCACAATAAATTATGGCAGTTATCATTTTTAGTGATTTAATACTGACATTAAAGTTCTTAAATGGCAGAGACCTGTAGTTATACAATCCTCAATACACAGCTTTCTATACAATAGATGTTCAATAACTATTTATTGAATTTTAATTCATATATATTTTTGAAGCAGAGTTTTATCTTAGTACAACGAAATGAAATAATACACCTTTTAAATGTTTTATTCAGCTTATGTTTATTTTTTTATTTTCTTAAATTTATTTTACTTTAGGTGCATACTATATCTGGCATTTCTCCCCATGTTATACCTCCCCACCCCGCGTTGTCTCTCCCCTACCCCCTCCAACTGTCTCCTGTGTGTAATGTTCCTTAAAATCATGATTCTATGATCACGTTTTCACAATATTCTTTAATTAATTTCTTGCCAAAATCTTGTTTGTACATGTCCCACAAAGTGGCTCACTAATACTGATTTTAACATCATTTATTATACTCAGTTTCATTGAACTATCATATAGGCTCATAGGATCACAAATTTTAAGAAATATGGATTTTCATCAACTGTACCTAGGTCTTTTCATTTTAGTACACCAAAATAAAAGGTTTGTCAATTTATAATTATAAGCATAATTTTTTAAAAAGTATCTTTTAACAAGGCTGAATGTCAGAAATCACTTAAAGAACTTATTCTAAATTTTTAACCAACCCTAGAGAGAAACCAGGAGCTACAAACTACATATAAGCCAACTAATTACTTGTAGTCTTTTACAGATATTGATTAAATAAAAAAAAAAAAAAGTACCTTGCACACTGGAACAATTTCCACAGAAAAAGTACTTTTGTAATTGTATGTGTTACTATGGATATCCTGAGAGATCAGTCTTTGTGATGCTTTGTATCTATTAAGAAAAATGTTAGTAGTAATACAAAGACAAAGGTCATTAACTTGTATGGACTCAGGAATATCAATTTTTATTAAATCAAACCATCAATGTCCAAGATCTAAAATGGCTTCCTAATGCCTGCTCTGGTAAAACCTAGTTTCCTCCACTTGCATTTCAAAACCTTCACCATTCTGACTATGCCTTACCTGTTTTGAACCTTATCTGCCAAAAACCTCTAGAACATGCCATTGTTCAGACCAATCTACTTTCTATATGCATTATTAAAAGCCACACTAATGCCCACTGCAAATCTTTGTTCACGCTAATAGTACCTTTTAATATAAACTCCAGCTATGAAAATTTCCCCACCTTTGGAGCACAAGCCCTACCACCTCTATGAGTAGGTGGTTAACCCAGTATATGCTTCCTGATTGTATAAGTATTTCCTTACAATTTTAAATAAGAAGTTGTCTGAGCCTGAAGAATATGTGTGACCCACATCCATTCCCAGGTCCTTAGACTTAGTCACATTCAGGTCCAGAACGTACCTACAGGGAACTGTACACTGAAGAAATTCAACCATCTTCTGAGCATGTTGTTTTGAGGAGTAATAAAAATCCAGGCCATCTTAAAAAAAAAAATTACAAAAATAGTTCTGAAAAATAGGATTCTCTTCTATTAATATGACTACATTGTAAATTATATCTACTTTAAACAAAATCAAGTTATTAGAAAACATTATATTGTAGTCACAACAGATTAGAGATATCACTTAAGACTTGTTTGGCAAAATGACAGACAATAAATCGGAAAATGCAAATAAAAACAGAAGTCACAATTTTAATTCTAGAAAAAGTAAAACTCAAGGCCAAGGGGGAGAGAAAAACAAAGAACAAAGAAAGTTGTTTTATGTAATAAATGGAATAATCTAGCAAGAAGATATCAGGAAACGATTTGAGATATGGAAAACAAAAACTATTAGAAAAAGAAAAAATTAACAAACATTAACACATACTATCATTGTAAGGGACTGTAATAAGACTCTCAAAACCAAAATGATCAAATTGACAAAAAATAGTAACAATTCACAGAACTTGAATAACCACCTATCAAGACTGAGATAACTGAGATTATATAACACAGTTTTTAAAAAAAATACACAAACTCCACAGCTTCTGCACAGCAAAAGAAATAGTCGTTAGAGTGAACTGGCAACCAACAGAATGGGAAAAAATTTTTGCAATCTACCCATCAGACAAAGGGCTGATGCCCAGAATCTACAAAGAACTAAAACAGATTTACAAGGAAAAAAAGCCCATTCAAACGTGGGCAAAGGACATGAACAGACACTTTACAAAAGAAGACATACATGAGGCCAACAAATATATGAAAAAATGCTCATCATCACTGGTCATTAGAGAAATGTAAATCAAAACTACATTGAGATACCATCTCACGCCAGTTAGAATGGTGATCATTAAAAAATCTGGAGATAGCAGATGCTGGAGAGGATGTGGAGAAATAGGAACACTTTTACACTGTTGGTGGGAGTGATTAGTTCAACCATTGTGGAAGACAGTGTGGCGATTCCTTAAGGACCTAGAAATAGAAATTCCATTTGACCCAGCAATCCCACTACTGGGTATATATCCAAAGGACTATAAATCGTTCTACTACAAGGACACATGCACATGAATGTTCATTGCAGCACTGTTTACAGTAGCAAAGACCTGGAACCAACCCAAATGCCCATCGATGATAAATGGACAGGGAAAATGTGGCACATATACACCATGGAGTATTATGCAGCCATCAAAAATGATGAGTTTGTGTCCTTGTAGGGGCATGGATGAACCTGGAAACCATCATTCTCAGCAAACTGACACAAGAACAGAAAATCAAACACCGTATGTTCTCACTCATAGGAGAGTGTTGAACAATGAGAACACATGGACACAGGGAGGGGAGTATCACACACTGGGGTCTGTTGGTGGGTGGAAATAGGGGAAGGACAGCGGAGGTGGGGAGTTAGGGAGAGAGAGCATGGGGAGAAATGCCAGATATAGGTGATGGGGAGGAAGGCAGCACATCATATTGCCATGTGTGTACCTATGCAACAATCTTGCATGTTTTTCACATGTATCTCAAAACCTAAAATGCAATAAAAATTTAAAAAAAAGAAACAATACATATTTTTTCAAACATTCATAAAATATTCATTTAAAAATTATGTACCAGGCCGGGCACAGTGGCTTATGCCTGTAATCTCAGCACTTTGGGAGGCTGAGTCATGCAGATCACCTGAGGTCAGGAGTTCAAGACCAAACTTGGCCAACATGGTGGAACCCGTCTCTACTAAAAAGACAAAAATTAGCCAGGCATAGTGGTGGGCACCTGTAATACCAGCTACTCATGAGGCTGAGGCAAGAGAATTGTTTGAACCCAGTAGGCAGAGGTGGCAGTGAGCTGAGATTGTGCCACTGCACTCCAGCCTGGGAAACAGAGACTTCATCCCAAAAAAAAAAAAAAAAAGAAAAGAAAGAAGAAAAAAACAAATCATGTGCTAAGATTTTAAAAATAAAACAATTTCAATAAATCCCAAACAGCAGAAATTATTAAAGACAACACATTATCTCATCACAAAGCAGTAGCACTAAGAATCATCAAGAAAGGAATAGCCAAAAGCAAACCTCCCTAAGAAATATTAAAGATACTCTTAAAAATAACTCAGCTAAATATAATTATCAGACTAGCCAATACTAAAATTATCCAGAATAGCCAAAATAATTAAGAAAATGAACATTACACACAATATCAAAACTCACTAACTTTAGTAAGTATTCAAGACAGCATGATACTAACCTAAGGATAAATATATAGATCAATGGGAATAGACTTGAGATTCTAGAAATAAACCATTACATTTACAGTCAATAGATCTTTGACAGAAGACCCAAGGCATTCACTGAGGAAAGGACAGAGTTTTCACTGGGATAAAGAATATCCACATAGAAAAAGATGAATTTAGACACTTATCTCACACTCTGCACAAAAATTAACTCAAAAGAGTTAGATTAAAATGCATAAGACCTAAAATTGTAAAACATTTGAAAGAAACCATAGGAGAAAATCTTTTTGACCTTGATTAAACAAACAGTTTTTAAGCATACTCCCAAAATCACAATTAAAATTAAAAAACATGATAAAATGGACTTTATCAAAATTTAAAACTTTTGCAATTCCAAGGACACCATTAAGAATATCTAGTGTGAATTTTCTCCTACATACTAGAGGTTTTGGAGAAAATATCTGCAAACCATGTATGTAGTAAGAGACTTGTATCCAGAATATGCTCAACATTTTAGTCATTAGCAAGATGGAAATTAAAACCAAAATGAGATACCACTTCATACCACACTCTAGAATGGCTATAAACAAAAAGATAGAACAAGTGTTGAGGAGGATATGGAGAAATATTGCTGGCAGGAATGTATAATGGTACAGCCACTTTGAAGCAGTTTGGCAGTTTCTTACATATAAACATAAATTTACCATAGAACTCAGTAATTCCACACCTAAGTATGTATCCAAAAGAATCAAACAGCTGAGGTGCTTGCTGATGGCAAACAAAATGTGCAATGGGCAGTGGAAAAAGGTAGCTATGAGTACCAGCTACAGACCCAACATGGTACTCAGAAGAAAATTTATGACCTTAAGTTTATTAGAAATTAAAAATAAATTAAGCTATCAATTCATTAAAACAAAACAGAACTAAAGAGAGCTGAAGGAATTACAGTGATAAAAACAAAATTAAGACAAAGAAAAATATAAGATTGTTTAAAATAAAACTAAAAATAGTTTTCTGATAAAACCAACATAATAGATAAAAGTGGCAAGTCTGACTAAGGGGAGGTGAGTAGAAAAAGAGAAATGATAAACATTAGGAACAATAAAGAGGACATAACTATAGTTGTGGATGAGATTCATTATGATAATACGTATGTTCTATTTTATGTTAAGAATCTAAAAAGCTAGAAGAAATGGCTTTCCTTGGAAAATGCTATTAAAATTGACTCAAGGGGTAGAATACCTGAGAGATGAATATCATAAAAGAAACTGAAAAGACATCCTCTAGGAGATATCAAATTGGATGGCTTAATGGTCAAGTTCTTTAAAAACTTCAAAAGGTTAATTAAATGCTAGGTGGAAAGAAGGCAAGCCTTTTAACTCTTGTCAGTGTTACTCACATAACTGAGAGCAAGATTGAACAGAAGTATGTATGCATATATATCAAACAGAAACCTTAAAAAAAAATTATACTTGGGTATGAAACATAAAAAAAATGTCTGACATTAGGAGAAAATTAAAAATTCTGTTTCTCAGTTGCTCTAGCCACATTTCAAGTACTCAACAGCCACATGTGGCTAGTGACTACCATACTGGACAGTGCAGATAAAAAACTAAGTTTTTTTATCCCCCTAACAGAAAATCCTTTCAGACAGTACTAATCCAGATGTTATCGGTAAAGACAAGGTTACTTAGGTAAGTTGAAATAAAAATCTGACATCATTTCAAATGCTTTTAAATTTTAACTCACCATGAATCTCTTTGATACGAAGTGTATTCTGATGCATTCCATATTTCAGAATTAACTGTTCCAGATAGTAGAAAGTTTTTTTGTGCAAAGTCTAAAATATAAATTATTTGATCAATAATTGCCCCCCAAAAAGCCATTTATAGGTACAGCACACACATACCATCTAGATACAGCGTACTGATTTTTCAAACAATAATAATCTTTAAAGTTTATCTAAAACATAATAATGATCTATTTCCAAAGGTGAATACTTCAGGAATCTAGACTATCCCTGGTACTTGTAGGATTTAGAAAGAAGGGAAGGAGGTTTTACTAGCTGTCTTATAAATGACATAGATGAAATATAAGATATAGGACTCACTCATCTTCTATCATTACCTTTTGCCTCACTTGAATCACAGCCTTCCAGAAATCCTTAGCTTCTACTCTATGGCAATCTCCACACATTTGGCACTGAACAACATAATCCACCACAAACACTTGTTGAAGGATAGCACCATTCATCACCTGATAAAGAAAACAATTGCACTCCTTCATTCATTTGGTTTTGTTTAATAACAAATATTTTCTTTAAAAGAAGAACCTTTAATATTTAATTTAAACTTTTTCCATTAATGCTTTGAGCACATCAATCAAATGTCCTCAAATTTAAAGTCATAAAAATAAGTTATACTATTTCAAGAAAGGTATACAGATTTAATTCCTAAGATGTATTTGATTACCATTTCAAATTTTCCTTTAGCTGAAGTGGTTGTGAGAATATTGTGTGTATATTTTACATATACATATTATTTTTTTGAAACAGGGTCTCACTCTGCCCGTTGCCCAGGCTGAAGTGCAGTAGCATGATCTTGGTTCACTGCAACCTCCACCTCCTGGACTCAAGCAATCCTTCACCTCAGGCTCCCGAGTAGCTAGTACTACAGGCACATGCCACCAAGTCCAACTGACTTTTGTGTTTTTAGTAGGGATGGGGTCTCAAACTCCTGGGCTCAAGTATTCTGCCTACCTTTGGCCTCCCAAAGTGCTGGGATCACAGGTGTGAGCCACCGTGCCCAGCCTATGCCTTATGTTTATAGAGAAACTATCCAAGAAAAAAAGTAAGGAAAACTTCTCAAAAAGAAAATATTCCCCTAAATTAAGTGCTCATTAAATTTTTGTTCCCAAACATAGCTGATCAAAAATCACATGGGAAGCTTTTTAAAAATATAGATTGACCATTCCAAATTCAAAAATCCCAAATCTGAAATTTCAGCTCCAAAATTTGAAACATTTTGGGTTTCTAAACGACACTCAAAGGAAATGTTCACTGGAATATTTTGTATTTGAATTAGGGATGCTCAACCAGTGAGTATAATACAAATATTCCAAAATCCAAAATCTGAAACACTTCTGGTCCCAAGCATTTTAGATAAGGGATACTCAACCTACACCTAGATTCCCAGGCCTCAAATGCAGAGTATTTTTGCTTCAGTTATGACGAGTCATTACAATGATTAGCCAAGTCTGAGAATCAGGACCTTAGACCATGTTTTTACTTCAGTCATTTTCCTAATAAAAATAACTCTGGAAAAGATCAGTAAGTCTGCTAATCATAAGCAACTACTCTTACTAGTGACCTAATTATTTTTACAAAAGCTCAAAAGGAAACAAACAGCTAAAATTGAGTGTACTCTTTTCCTTTTAAGCTGTTCAAGCTATAAAGTAACTTATCACTAGGTCCTCATTTTCACTACCTGCATTTTAACCATGCTGAGAAAATTATGTACTGCTTACCTCTTTCTGAATAGTCAGTTTAACTTTAAGTCTCTTAGAATGAGGCTCAGTCCAAACAAAGCCTGCATCGACAAGCCGTACCTTCAATAAAACACAAAAAGAAACATTAAGTTCTCACCTGAGGAGAAAAAAAAAGGCAAAAGAACAAATCATTAATAAATGGATTTCATACGATGCTTAAGGAATCTATGATCAGCATGACTACACACCATCACCATAAAAAAAGATTAATCATCAGTTATGCAACAATAGCAGCAAATCAAAGGACAATCCAATGACTATATTAACGCAAATGACATAATTTAAGCAAAAAAATAAAGTATTTGTATAGGAAAAACATTCTTTTCCCTTAAAAAAAAAGTACTGTCCTTTAAAAGGAAATTATATTTTTTGGAAGAAAGCGAAGACCTGGTGATCTCATTATCTATTAGTAATCTCATGAACAAAAGTTTCCACTTGGATTATTCTCTCTATATTAAGTCTGTGACTTTTTTTTTTAAGAATCAATATGCATTACAGAAATTTCATAAACTGAATACTAAATCCATAATCATAACTTACTACTAAATCTGCAGCATCTGCATAGGCCAAAACCAGTTTGCTATATGTGAAAATCTGAATATATAACTTAAGAATGGCCAGAATGGGTGTTTGGGGAGACGGGTTATGGGGTGAGTGGGAGAACAAGAATGGAGGCTGCTGAAATAATTTGGGCAGGGGCTGTAGATGATCTGCACTGAGAGGCACTGGAAATAACAAAAGCAGATTCAAGGGCTATTTAGGAGATAAAAATTCATAAGATTTATCTGTACAGTCCAGTGATATAGAAAAAAATCTGAAAGATTTAATGGTAACTGAATATGGGAAAGAAGAAGAAAACAGACTCTAGAATGATGCTCCAGTATCTGCTTAGACAACTAGGTAGTACAATTTTGTGACACAAATAAACAAAGGATATAATAAGAAAAAGATGTTACGTTTGATTTCAGACATTTAAGTTTAAGACAGTATCTGTGAGATGCCCAAGAGGAACTGTTCAGTGAACATTAAGATTCAATTGGTCTGAAGATCTGTGGAAAAAAATCTGGGCTGTAGTTAACAGATTTGAGATGTAACAGATACACTTTTATCAAGTACTGTCTGGTGAAAGGTAGACTAGCCACTTGTAGCGTAGAAACAAAGATGCAACAAACCAGAGTAAAACCCTCATACAACTGGCCTTCCTAAAGCAAAGCCTAGTAGTTAACAAGCGATGCTAGGTACAGAGGGTGACAGGCAGATTCCTATTCCTTCAATCTCCATCTGCAGTGGTCAAAACATAAAAAAGCCTCAAGGGCACTGAATAAAACTGATCTTCCCCTCAAGCTCCAATCCCCACCTACAGGAATGGAGAGTCTCCTTGACATCCTGCTTGGCATTCCCCAAAACAAACTCACTATATTATGTATCCTCAAGACAACCATGACTAATTAACCTTATTAGTCCCTTTCCTTCTTTACCACAGTCCCAGACACCTCAGTCACTCCTCATCTCCCATACTCCAATTTCCATATGATGATGCATATTCCCTCTTCTGTCCCCATTTAACACTCTTCCCTGAATCCTAAAACCCTTCTACTGTGTCCTCTGGAGCTCAACATTCACTAACAATGAAACCTCCTAAATCCTCAACTTTGCTGAACATTCCCTTCAATTTCTAGACTTCCTGATTAACTCTCTCCCCTGAAGCTATATGAAGTGATGACTGATATTTCTCCACTTTTCTTCCCATCACGGAACCAGCCACCACACAGGTATCCTCCTTGCTCTTCATTGCTAATTACAGACCATTCTCCTTGCCTCCTCCTCAAATATACCCAGCTCTGAATCTAAAGTCATTAGACTGCACCATCCACTACTCTCTTTGTTACAGTAATCTATTCATCTTTGTATCACCTGTTTTCACTTCTCATAAGATTTAGCTTCTGGCTCACCATCACACTTTCCAATAATACTAATACCTAGTGATTTCAATATCCACACAAGATGATCCCCACAATACCCTGACCTCTCTCTCCATTCTTTGAGTTATTCTTCTCCCAAAATATTGTCCACCTTCCTATCTCAGTCACTCATATCCTTTAATTACCAATAACTGCAAACACTTCAAAATCTCAAATTCCAAACATCCTACTCCCTGACTACCACCTCCTATCTTTCCAGCTTATTTCCTCTAGTTCTTGGGCACCAAAAATCTTTCAAGTTAATGTAATGGACAATCCATTCATCCTACCAACTTCATTCCTTATTCTTCCTCTCTAGCTTCAAAATCAATAATCAGAACTTATCTCGTGTACACACTCAATTTCCTTGTTCCCTCCCTTATTTCACCTTAGTCACTAGGCTAAATTATAAGCCAGATTAAATCCAGTGTCTATCTGCTCTATGCCTTATCTGTAGCTGATGGAACTAGAGAAATAGATGTATACCACACTAACTAGTCTAAATTTGTAACAGTAACCCTCAGCACTGCCCAACATTGTTCAGGTGCATTCTCTCTCCAACTGTCATAGAGGACCATTTTATATCTTCCACTCTCTCCTCAAACATCTGTCTAATAGCTCTTCTCACACAGCTAATGCCCATGCTTCTGTTTTCTTCATTAAAAAAAAGGAACCAGAGAATTCCCAGAAGCTCCCACTCAACACCTTCCCTCCTATTACTACAGATGAACTGTCCATACTCCTATCAAGATCAACCTCTAGAATGTCCCACTAGACAGCAAAGATCTTTATTTTGTTCCATGAAATATTACAGCCTCCCAAAATGGGACTTGGCGAAGAGTAAGTGCTGAATACTTGCTGAATTAATGAATGAACAAATAAGGTATTCTTCCACTATGTACTACATCTCATCTATTTTCTACTTCTTGGGGCCATCCTCCAGTCAATTATTCAGTCTCCCTATAATTTTACAAAAATTTCCCTCCGTACTCTAACACTCCCAGAAAACTGACAAATACAATTATATATCCCATCTTAAGAAATGTGTCCTGGTCAAGCACAGTGGCTCATGCTTGTAATCCCAACACTTTGGGAGACTGAGACAGGAGGATTGCTTGAGCTCAGGTGTTCAAGACCAGTCTGGGCAACATAGTGAGGTATCTGTTCTACAAGGCCAAAAAAAAAAAAAAAAAGGACAAAGATCTCATCTCTCTACTAAAAATAAAAAATAAAAAAATTTTAAAGCAGCCAGGCTTGGTGGTGCACAATATAGTACCAAATACTTGGGAGGCTGAGGCAGAAGGATCATCTGAGCCCAGGAGTTTGAGGCTGCAGTGAGCCATGACAGCACCACTGCACTCCAGCATGAGTAAAGACATTGTCTCCAAAAAATAAAATAAGACATGTGTCCCTTCCCAAATTTCCCCTTCAACCACTGCCCCATTTCTTTGTTTTCCTTTATACCAAATCTTAAAAGAACTGTCTATCCTTGCTACCTCCAATTCCTTCTCCCATTTTCATTTCTACTTAAATCATATGTTTACCATCACCACTAAACAGAAAGTGTCCATGTTAGTAAGTTCGTCCACAATGCTAAAGCTGCGGAAATCATTACTTGACCCATCAACTGCGAATCACATAGCTACTCATTCCTTTCTTCTTAAAACACTTACCTTTCCTCCCAGGACACCACATTCACCTAATATTTTCCTCTGCCTCCCTAGCAGCTCCTTTTAGTCTCTTTTGCTGATTCCTCCTCATTACCCAATTATTCCTTCCTCATTACCCACTAAAGGAATTACTCCAGGATTCAGTCCTCCAGTTTCTTTCCTTCTCTACGTAAACTCCTGAAGTAACCTAATCCAATTCATGACCTTAAATATTATCTATATCCCAAATTCATTATCTCTAGACCGGACCACTCACCTGCTTATTTATCAACCTGCCTACTCAGTATTTCTACTTAAGCATCTGGTAGACATCGAAATATCAGTTACAGATGAGCTCCAATCTCCCCACCTAGTGACCTGGCTGCTCAGATCATAAACAGTGGAAGGCATCCTTAACTCTTCTCTTACACACACATCCAGCTACATCAGTAAATGTTACTACCTTAAAAATAGATCCAAATCTGTCCACTTCTTACTACCTCCACTGCTGATCTAAAAACATCATTTCTCATGATTATTACAATTATTTACACGTTTACCTCCCTTACATCCATTCTAAAAAAACATAGCCAGAGGAATCCTAGTGGTCTTATCATCTCACTACTCTGCCCTTCTCACCCTCTATTTTCACTTTTCATAAAAAGAATACATGTAACTTTAAAAAGTGTTTGTAGTGGGGTCTACTGGTAACAATACTAATATTTAATAGTTACTTCTGAAAAATCTACTCACAAGAATTTTCTGAAAATGAGAGCTTTAATGAAAACATATCTATAAATTCTGATTGTAGCTGTTTAACTTACCTTACTCAGAGGGGCCTTGATTTTATTCAAACACAAAGCAAGAAGTTCCCTGGATTCTAAAGCACACTGTATCCAAGTTCCTGGTGGCTGAAAATACCTGAAAGAAAAGGTAATATACTGAAATTCAACATCTCTCAGGAAACACAGAAATTTCCATCTGAATATACAGATATAACCCAAATTATTAACCAGGCATAATGAAACCCAAGGTTGATATAAAGCACTTAACTCAAATATATTTTAATGGTTCCAGAACTTTCAACTGGACTAGTAGCTTCAATTAAAAAGGTAAAATTCTGACTGAAAACATCAATCTGAAATAACCTACTAAAGTGATCTTATTACTTCAATCACCAAATCACCACTACAATTCCAGTGAGGCTGGCTAAGTGTCCAAGAGTCCCTTAAAGCTATGCTCTGAACAACAGGTGAAAATCATCTCATCATGGCACTAAAATGGTTTATTATGTACTTCTAAACTGCCTGAAAACTGCTTATTTCTCACAATAAAAAGATAAATTAGTACCTCACAACACTAGGAATCATCAATAATTCAGTCTACTCATCTTATTTCAAGTCCCTTTCAAATTTTAAATTGTAAAATGACGTTTAAAATCTTAGGTAAGGGCCGGGCGTGGTGGCTCACGCCTGTAATCCCAGCACTTTGGGAGGCCGAGGTGGGTGGATCACGAGGTCAAGAGATCGAGACCATCCTGATAAAACATGGTGAAACCCCTTCTCTACTAAAAATACAAAAAATTAGCTGGGCATGGTGGCGTGTGCCTGTAATTCCAGCCACTCAGGAGGCTGAGGCAGGAGAATTGCCTGAACCCAGGAGGCGGAGGTTGTGGTGAGCCAAGATTGCGCCATTGCACTCCAGCCTGGGTAACAAGAGCGAAACTCTGTCTCAAAAAAAAAAAAAAAAAATCTTAGGTAAAACCTGACTAAAACAAAACTTAAATCTCTTGCACATGTGCTTTAAGGTTTTTAGTCCAGCCTACCCAGGACTTAGTACAGTGCCTGACACATCTTATAGCAGGTGCTCAATAAATGTTTGTTAAATATAAAATACTGCCAAATGTGTTATGTGAATGCCTTTTAGCCATACTCGTTAAATAACAAATTTTTCATTTTTACTTTTCAAGGTTCAATCAGAAACATTACACAGGTCCCCCTCTGTTTATAACAACTTATCTATTTATTTACTGGTACTTTTTTTTTGAGATGGAGTCTTGCTCTGTCCCCCAGGTTGGAGTGCAGTGGTATAATCTCAGCTCACTACAACCTCTGCCTCTGGGGTTCAAGTGATTTGCCTACTTCAGCCTCCAGAGTAGCTAGGATTATAGGCACGCCCCACCACACTCAGCTAAGTTTTGTATTTTTAGTAGAGACACGGTTTTACCATGTTGACCAGTGTGGTCCCAAACTCCTGACCTCAAGTGATCCACCTGCCTCAGCCTCCCCAAGTGCTGGGATTACAGGCATGAGGCACTGTGCCTGGCCTAAAAGTACACTTTAAGAGTTAGAAATATCACCTAATAAAACCATTAATTCTGATGAGGAAATTGAGGCCCTGAGATGATAAATGGCCAAGAGTTTCAAAAAGCTAGTTTGTAAGAAAGCCAAGACAAACTAAGTCTGTTTAGTTCTTTATCTAGTACTTGTCTAACTAACTCCACCAGGCTTTTAATAGCAAGTATTTAAAAGATTAAGTCACACTTGCTAAGCTTCTGTAAACTCCCTGAAACAATAAAAAAAGTTTCATGTGTTTATACACATATATATGTAAATATTTTACAGGAGAGATACAGTTTTCAAATTCTCAAGGAGTCCATGAACCACCCCTCTAAAGACACATACTCAAAACGTAATCTTAACCCATTTTGGAAATCACAGGCATACAATTTTATACTCATTAGGCAGTTCTGTGTTACTCAATGGCTTAATAGATATAAGTTGTTTATACCAACAATTAAGGAAAATAAAGAGGAATGAAACATTAACTTTCAGAAGAAGTCTTCTGCCTTCCAATCCAATCTTTAATTCAGACCATTTAAGATAGAATTTACTGAGCTTATTTTCCATCAACAGTTATTTTAATTACATGTGAACGTTAAAAGAGTTCTTAAAACATATTACTAAATTACTCCAAACATAAGGTGCTTATTATCATACATAGCTCCTAATAACTAAAGAAAAAGAAACCTTATAATAACATGTCCTTAATAATCTGCTCTCACCCGTACAAACATCAACTCCTATCTATTAACTATATACATCAAATCTATTAGATCCTTTAATAGGAGAAGAACAGATTTAAATACCTTTACACTATCTTTAACAGATTAGCAGGAAACACTAGAGAAGTACACTATAAAATTACAAATTCTAAAATCTTTGGTGACACCAACACAAAAACTAAACCTTAATTGCATGTACTTTATTCTATGCACCTTTGTGTAATCTTAGCATATCTCAGTGGCTCTCTAAATGTAAATTCCAACTTTAAGAAGAGCAAAATTGTACCACACTATACCTTTGACATTGTTTGCAGAACGAAATCGAGACTTGTTTTGGAATACCTTGGCTGATGTCCACTTTACTTCGCAAACAGGCCACACAAATATTGGCAGGATTTGGACTTATTGGGACACCACACTCACAGCACAAGCTTTAAAAAATAAAAGACAAATCTTTCCAATTAGGTTTTTAAAATACACTAGTTAAACTTTTTTTTAGATGCCAAACAAACAAAAGGCTTCAAGTTAGGCCACATTATCTTTGCCCTTTTTTAAAAAATGACAGAAACAAAGCAACCTGGGCCAGGCACAGCGGCTCACGCTTGTAATTCCAACACTTTGGGAGGCCCTGGCAGGTGGATCACCTGAGATAAAAAGTTCAAGACCAGCCTGTTCAACATGGTGAAAACCCATCTCTACTAAAAATACAAAAATTAGCTGGGCACGGTGGTGCATGCCTGTAATCCCAGCTACTTGGGAGGCTGAGGCACAAGAATTGTTTGAACCCAGGAGGCGGAAGTTGCACTGAGCCAGATCACACAACTGCACTCCAGCCTGGGTGACAGAGCAAGACAATGTCTCAAAACAAATAAAAAGAAAAGAAAGCAATCTTCAAAGATGCAGTATATAAAGAATAATCTTGTAATACAGGGGGGAAAATACCAAAAATGGCTACAATTCTAAAAATCCTCAATATAAGGCCAATGTCCTAAAGGTTCTAGAGAGTCAGTACTGTCCAACAGAACTTCATGCCATGATAGAAATGTTCTACTGTGGTCTGTACAAGGTAGCCACTAGCCACATATGGCAAATGGGCCACGAAAAGTGACTAGTACAGCTGAGAAACTCAATTTTTTATTTTTTTCAATTTAAATTTACATTTAAATAGACAATATGGGTCTAAACAAGTCTTTTTTATTAAAAGCAAATGAAACTATATTGTCACATTAAAACAAATGTAGGTACCTTGATGAAGAATGCAAATCTTACACTAATTTTAACGTTAAAAACTTAAATACAATAAAAAATTTTAAAGGGCTTTTGACCACATCCAATCAAGACTATCCATGAAGGTAACATTTATTAACAATTTGTATATATCGTTCCAAATATTTTCTATGCAGACACAAACATTCACGTTAACTTTTACATATAAACAGATAAACTTCCCAACTGCAAGTGTAATAGCAAACTTGGGAAAAATTTGAGAAGCACTGTTATTCATTATTCCTTGTTGAAAATTGGAAAACCAAGAAAGAATCAATAAACAAGGTAACAGTGTGTCAATGGCAAAAAACAAAAAGAAAATCCTGTATCAAAAATACGTGAGATCAGTTTGTCTTTTTAATTCAACCACCTCATCTCTAAATACTAAGCCTTTAAAAATTTATTTATTCAGGGCATACAGAGGACCACAACTTAGGTGAACAGAATAGTATCACTAGATTAGGACTTCAGTTGTCTATCTCTAATAAACATTTCTTCAAGTATATCTCTGGACTACACCAATAGAAACTAATATCTAAATCATTTCTAACAGAATTAGACAGCAATATACTCCAAAGGCAATTTTTTAAAAAGTGTAAGGACTGCTAAAATATAAACATTTACGCAGAGCAGAATTTTTTTTTAACATGATACGAAGTATATCAACATCTAGAGACTCGGTATAAATAACAAAACTATCATAATTCTAAATGTACTGGGGGCAGAAAAAGTTTGAGAGCCACTAATGGAGGAACACACTGTCCAAAAGAAAAGTTTGATAATTTCCATGTCTAATGGTAGCCACTAGCCACATGTGGCAATATGGCTAGTACAAACAAGCAACCAAGTATTTAATTTAATTTTATTCCATTTAAATTAATTTAGGAAATTTCCAACTTAAACTGCTTAGGGTTTATGCTGACAGAATGGAGCCAGCAGTACCATCTGGAAAGCAAGTAGTTCTTGACAGAGCCAACCAGGCTCTTCCAGAGTGCTGGTTCTATGAAAGGGTGTACATCATTTTGAAGAAGTTAATGGTCAAACTGAACCCATTCCAAGAAAGGGTTCTGTGAAGGGCTTTGACCCTCAGACAAGTGTCTATTAAAAGCTACTGACAGAACAAGGAAGATCAGCACTATGCTGAGCTCCAAAGACATTTAAGTTTCCGATGGCTTATTCAAACCCACTGAGCTAACTGAAGGGCAAGTAAAGCATCACACAAAAGGGGGCCACGTTTCCTGTTTTCACTAACTAGCCACTGAACTCCTATTTTTCCTTTGGTTTTTACTTTTGGCCACAAAGCTAGTTTCTCCATAATTACTGTTTTCCCATGAGATTAAGGTCATTCTAGACAGAGGACTGCAATGTTTACAGGGTAGTTGTGGTAAGAAGCCAGTTTATTTTAGATTTAGCTAATTGGTCTGTGCTGAACGATTCCAGGATTACTGTTTAAAAGTCTCCGTAGTCATCTCTGTGAAGAAAACTGTATCATTAAACCTAACTACTCATCAGAAAAGAGAGAGAGAAGAAAGAAAGAGAAAGAAAGAAACAGAGAGAGAGAAAAGCAAGCAAGCAAAGCAGAGCAAATTTGAACATAAATACAAGAAATGACCCCAGGCACGGTGGCTCACGCCTGTAATCCCAGCACTTTGGGAGGCCGAGGCGGGTGGATCACTTGAGGTCAGGAGTTCGAGACCAACCTGACCAACATGTAAAAATACAAAAATGAGCCGGGTGTGGTGGCATACGCCTGTAATCTCAGCTACTCAGGAGGCTGAGGCAGGAGAATCACGTGAACCCGGGAGGCGGAGGTTGAAGTGAGCCAAGATCACACCACTACACTCCAGCCTGGGTGACAGAGCAAAACTCTACCTCAAAAAAAAAAAAAAAAATGACTCCATCTGAAAAAAAAGAAAGAAATTAAAGCCGGACGCGGTGGCTCGCGCCTGTAATCCCAGCACTCTGGGAGGCCGACAGGAGCGGAGCACGAGGTCAAGAGATGGAGACTATCCTGGCCATTATGTGAAACCCCATCTCTACTAAAAATACAAAAATTTGCTGGGCGTGGTGGTGTGCACCTGTAGTCCCAACTACTCGTGAGGCTGAATTGCTTGAACTCGGGAGGCTGAGGGTGCAGTGAGATCACACCACTGCACTCCAGCCTGGGCAACAAAGTGAGACTCTATCAAAAAGAAAAGAAAAGAAATTAAAAATTGATAATTACGTTTTAAGATGTTTAAAATTAAAAATTACTACACTGTAATCTCCAATAAAAAAACAGTAAACAGTAAATTTAAAGAGCCACATATGGCTATATATTGGACAGTGCTCTTCTGAAAGGATGCATGGTGGATATTTTAACCCTTTTAGAGGGTATATTTCCTAGAACAAGCTTTATAACCAGAAACTAATTCGATTTTCTACAGAAATGAGACATATTTTTCCCATTTTTGACAATAGAAGCTCCTCCCCACCCACCCTCAAGCTTTCCCCACAGTAAGTTTCCCAAGCTCACTGAAGATTTTCACATTCAAGGCGGAAGGAAGAAGTGCCGCACTCACATGTGTCCAGGGCTGCGGTTGGTGGATTCTGTCATATACTCCATCGCTCTGTATGCCTTAAGTTTAAAAAGAAAAAAATGAGAATGGTGGGATTTAAATCACTTCGGTCTCTTTTTACGTATTCCTTCTGCCTCTCTGAATAATTAATATATTCACAGAACTTCGAAAAACCAGGAAAGAAGGAAAACCAATTCCACTGGGTAACTTCGCAAAAAAGAACTTTAAGATGAGGACCAGAGGATTTCCTGAGCTTCCCACGTGCAAGACTCTGGGGACACCTAGCTCTGACGCTGACCTCAATCTCACCTGGGTGCCAACCCTGGAGGACCCAGGGCGAGGTCAGCTCGGAGCTGCGGAGGCCCGGGCCCTCCCGCTCTCCACCCGCCCAGGGCCTGCACCGGACAGCCGCACCTCAGACCCACGCCGCAGGAGTCCCCGGAAGCCGTCCAGGCGCCCGCAGACCACCCATGCCGACCCCCAAACCCAGGGCCCGACCGCACGGGTTTGGGGCTCGCGGCGCGCACGCGGACCGAACCGGTTCGAGCCCGGTGAGCCCTCCCCCCCCCACTCAGGCAGCCCAGGTCTCGAGCCCCGGAACCTACTTCACACCTCCAGACGAGCCCTGGATTTGCTAAAAACCCGCGACAAAATAGACCCCAACCGTCCCTTCAGCTGCCTCCACGGCAGTCTACGCCACCGTGCAGATCTCGCGAGAGAAAATGCTCAAAATCCCGCGGCCGGAGTAATGCGTAAAAGGGGCGGGAAAGGGGCGGCACCCGCGGGCCAAAGGGTGAGGTGAGCGGCGGGGCGGCTGGGCAAGCGGGCGGACAGAAGTCCCATGGGTTCTTGGGCTATCAGTGACTGCTTCTGAGTTTTCGTCTCAATTTTCCCACACCAGGGTTCATTCCAAACCACCCTCGCCCAAATATTAGTCTCTTTTCAGCCATCCCGACTGTGACCTTGCTTCTTGGTTAAATGATTATTTTATATAAAAATTATCTGTAAACAGTACCTGACGCAAAGAAACTTTTTTTCCCGGGCGGCGCCTTTGTCTGTTTGGTTCACCATCATATACAGGCCTGACGCCTGCCTCATTCTAACTGCTGGAATGATTATTTATTGAAAGAATGAAATGTAAGGCATAATTATCTGTGAAGAAGTTAATGCAATTTTTAGACAATTTATTAATGTGCTTCCTGATAGTGCACTTAATATCTCCTTATGACTGATTTATTCCTTCAACCCTGGAGCAGCACAGACCATGTCTAATCTTTCTGTTTCATGACAGCCTTTCAAATATTTGAAGAGTACAACCTTTTTTTTTTTGTAAATCCCCTCATCCCAAATTTCAAGGAATAAGCAAGGGCATTTCTTAGAGGGTCAGAGAAAGCCTCTCGTCGTTTCTTGCCCAGAATACTTGAGTAGCCTCTTATCTGTTCTCCCTACTTGCAGACTCCAGTCCATCCTTCTGAAATGCAACTCTGATTTTGTCACACTCCCCTGCTTTTAATCCTTCAGTAGTGTCTGATTAACTTCAGCATTACTTCCAATTTCTTTACATGGAAACACCTTTCAGGATCTGATCTCCACATATCCTGTCCTATTCCAAAGCACACGCATTCCCAAGCCATGCGGACTAACTGGTAGGTCCTCATAGAAAATAGTCTTCCTTTGCTTCTTCTGGGACTCTGGGCTAAAGATTAAGCCTGAATTAATTTCCTAGTGCTGCTGTAACAAATTACCAAAGATTTAGTTGGCTTTAAAAACACAAATTTGTTCTCTTCTGGTTCTGGAGGTCACAGGTCTAAATAGATGAGGAGGACTGACTCTGGAGGCTCTAGGAGAAAAACCATTCCCAGGTCCTTTCCAGCGTCTAGAGGCTGCCTGCATTCCTTGGCTTGTGGTCCCACATCATTTTGCAATCAGGTCTCCTTCTCTTACCCTCCTGCCTCCCTCTTGAAAGAACACTTGTGATTTCATTGAGCCCAACCAGATAACCCAGAATAATCTTCCCATCTCAAGAAATTTAATATCTGTAAAGTTCACTTGCCATGTTAGGTAATATATTCACAGATTTCAAGGAATAGGACATCTTTGCAGAGCCATTATTCTGTCCAGCGCACATCCTCTCTTCTTCTGACTCCCTCAGTCCCTAAGGGCCAGAGGAGTTACATGCTCCTTCTCTATGTATGGTCCTATGTTAACACCTTTATAGGAGGTATATGCCTCTCTAATAGTGCTTTGAATAGGATCATAAATTTTCTACTCTGCATGACCTGTAGTTTCAAAACCCTGGAGAGCAATTTAGGTCTTGCTACTGTATGTAGCACAGTAGCTGACACAAAACAGACTCTCAATATATGTTGGTAAATTGATTATTCATTTAAAACCCACAACAACTCTGAAAAGACAGTGTTTTTCTCCCTGTTTTTTCTTTTTTTTAATTTTTTATTGAATTTTAGGTTTTGGGGTACATGTGCAGAACATGCAAGACAGTTGCATAGGTACACACATGGCAGTGTGTTTTGCTTCCTTTCTCCCCTTCACCCACATTTGGCATTTCTCCCCAGGCTATCCCTCCCCAGCTCCCCCCGCCCCCCGCTGGCCCTCCCCTTTTCCCCCCAGTAGACCCCAGTGTTTAGTACTCCCCTCCCTGTGTCCATGTGTTCTCATTTTTCATCACCCGCCTATGAGTGAGAATATGCGGTATTTCATTTTCTGTTCCTGTGTCAGTTTGCTGAGAATGATGTTCTCCAGATTCATCCATGTCCCTACAAACGACACGAACTCATCATTTCTGATTGCTGCATAATATTCCATGGTGTATATATGTGCCAAATTTTCCCAATCTAGTCTATCATCAATGGGCATTTGGGTTGATTCCAGGTCTTTGCTATTGTGAACAGTGCTGCAATGAACATTCATGTGCATATGTCCTTATAGTATGAGGAGTGCTTTACTTCCAATTATGTGGTTAATTTTAGAGTAGGTGTGATGTGGTGCTGAGAAGAATGTATATTCTGTGGATTTGGGGTGGAGAGTTCTGTAAATGTCTATCAGGTTTGTTTGCTCCAGGTCTGAATTCAAGCCCTGGATATCATTGTTGATTTTCTGTCTGGTTGATCTGTCTAATATTGACAGTGGAGTGTTAAAGTCTCCCACTATTATTGTGTGGGCGTCTAAGTCTCTTCATAAGTCATTAAGAACTTGCCTTATATATCTGGGTGCTTCTGTATTGGGTCCATATATGTTTAGGATCGTTAGCTCTTCTTGTTGTATCGATCCTTTTACCATTATGTAATGGCCTTCTTTGTCCCTTTTGATCTTTGTTGCTTTAAAGTCTATTTTATCAGAGATGAGAATTGCAACTCCTGCTTTTTTTTGCTCTCCATTTGCTTGGTAAATCTTCCTCCATCCCTTTATTTTGAGCCTTTGTGTATCCTTGCATGTGAGATGGGTTTCCTGGATACAGCACACTGATGGGTTTTGGATTTTTATCCAATTTGCCAGTCTGTGTCTTTTGATTGGTGCATTTAGTCCATTTACATTTAGGGTTAATATTGTTATGTGTGAATTTGATACAGCCATTTTGATGCTAGCTGGCTGTTTTGCCCGTTAGTTGTTGTAGATTCTTCATTATGTTGATGCTCTTTAGCATTTAGTGTCATTTTGGAATGGCTGGTACTGGTCGTTCCTTTCTATGTGTAGTGCCTCTTTCAGGTGACAAACTCTCTGAGTACTTGCTTGTTCACAAAGGATTTTATTTTTCCTTCACTTATGAAGCTCAGTTTGGCTGGATATGAAATTCTGGGTTGAAAGTTCTTTTCTTTAAGGATGTTGAATATTGGCCCCCACTCTCTTCTGGCTTGTACTCTTTCTGCTGAGAGATCTGCTGTGAGTCTGATGGGCTTCCCTTTGTGGGTGACCCGACCTTTCTCTCTGGATGCCCTTAGTATTTTCTCCTTTATTTCAACCTTGTTGAATCTGACAATTATGTGCCTTGGGGTTGCTCTTCTTGCAGAATATCTTTGTGGTGTTCTCTGTATTTCCTGCATTTGAGTATTGGCCCGTCTTGCTAGGTGGGGGAAATTTTCCTGGATAATATTCTGAAGAGTATTTTCCAGATTGGATTCATTCTCTTCATCACATTCTGGTACACCTATCAAACGTAGGTTAGGTCTCTTCACATAGTCCCACATTTCTTGGAGACTTTGTTCATTCCTTTTTGCACTTTTTTCTCTGATCTTGGTTTCTCGTTTTATTTCATTGAGTTGATCTTCGATTTCTGATATTCTTTCTTCTGCTTGGTCGATTCGGCTGTTGAAACTTGTGCATGCTTCGCGAAGTTCTCGTATTGTGTTTTTCAGCTCCTTTAATTCATTCATATTCCTCTCTAAGTTATCCATTCTTGTTATCATTTCCTCGAATCTTTTTTCAGATCTTTTTTCAAGGGTCTTAGTTTCTTTGCATTGGTTTAAAATATGTTCTTTTAGCTCACAAAAGTTTCTCATTATCCATCTTCTGAAGTCTAATTCCGTCATTTCATCACAGTCATTCTCCGTCCAGCTTTGTTCCCTTGCTGGTGAGGAGTTTTGGTCCTTTGTAGTAGGCGAGGTGTTCTGGTTTCGGGTGTTTTCCTCCTTTTTGCGCTGGTTTCTTCCCATCTTTGTGGATTTATCCACCTGTCGTCTGTGTAGTTGCTGACTTTTCAATTGGGTCTCTGAGTGGATGCCCAGATTGTTGATGATGAAGTATTTCTGTTACTTGGTTTTCCTTCTACCAGTCTAGCCCCTCCACTGTACGACTGCTGAGGTCCACTCCAGGCCCTGCTTCTCTGGGGTGCACCTATAGCAGCTGCGGACAGTGAGGGATGCTACCAGTTTCTTTTTCTGCTCTCTTTGTCCCAGAATGATGCCTGCCAAATGTCAGTCTTTTGGATATAGAGGGGTCAGGGAGCTGCCTGAGGAGACAGTCTGTACTTTATAGGAGCTCAAGTGCTGAGCTGTGAGCTCTGTTGTTCATTCAGGGCTGTTAGGCTGCTACGTTTAATTCTGCTACAGCAGAACTCATAAAAAAAAAAAAACCCTTTTTTTCTCAGATGCTCTGTCTCGGGGGGTTGGGGCTTTCTTTGTCTCTCCCTGTTTTTTCTATTCACACTGTCTGCCTTCATAAACACCACTAGGAACACAGCTGTAGTTAAGCAGGTTGTGTCCATTACTCTTTGAAGTAAGTACAAATACACACCATGGAGACCCTTTACCTCAGTAAGAGGGTATTTAGAACAAACCTATCATAAGACTGGGGCCTTGGGCGGGTGTTTTCTGGGAGGCCCTACGAAAATAGGGGTTTTTCTATAGCTTGGATGCTATCAGAAAGCAGGGGCAAATCTATGATTGGATGTCTCAGTAAATCTTATTTGCACAAAAGGAAGCAGGAGGATAAAGCTGCAATTAGCAAAGAAGTAGCAGTCACTCATTTCGTTGAAGAAAGAGAATGTTTGGTATTTTGTGGGTGGCATTGTGAACTTATTTTGGTCTGTGCTTACATGAAATTATGAAGTGACCTTGCTTTATCTCATTTCATCATGGTTTCAGAGTAATCTTGTTTGAGTTTAGTAGTCTGTGAAATTATTTATGTCTAATAAAAAAATCATGGCACAGCTGTGAGTACCAGACCAGCTTCTAAATGTCAAAGGCTGCTCATTTTTTAACACATTCCTTCAGCAATTATTTGATTTG